CTTTCCAAAAACAATCAAGTAAACGGTTCTCTGGGCGCCCGGACGGACCCGCCTCTGAGAGCTCGGCCCGCGGTGGCCGGAGGAGCCGGACCCCGCCTGAGCCCTTCCCTCTGGGGCTCTGGAGCCCCCGCCCCGGCCCTGGGGGAGAGGGGGAGGCCGGGGTTCACCCTGGCTCTATCCCCACCCCTGGGGCTCGCCGCCCCCTGGCCGCGGGTTCCCTGTGTGTGCCCGAAGGAGAACCAGCACTTCTAGGGCCCGAGCCCTACTCCTGGGGAGCAGATCTAAGCGGCAGTGAGGGGTGGGGGGCCAGCCGGCAGCAGAGGTCCAAGTGGGGGGTCCTTCGGGGGCTGCCCGGGCTTTGCTGCTCTCGGGTCACGGCCTGACCAGGCCTGGGCAGCAGTGACCACTCGGCCCGACCACAGCCGGGCGCAGGAGGCTATGAGAGGGAGCAGACAGATGGGCCCCTCGGAAACCGCCGCAGGGCCCCTCGGCTCCCACCCCGGCCTTCCGCCCTCTCGCTCCTCCGGGAAACACGCCCGGAACCCGCCAGCCTGACCAGCTCGAGGCACAGCCGCCCGGAGGAGGTCCTGGCTCTGGCCCCCGGGCCCCTCAGGTAGGGGGGCAGGGCCTCTTGTGCGGGTCACGCTGCGGAAGCAGAGCGAGGACAAGGACCCGGCCGGGCCCGCGGCCCCACAGGCCGGCCTCCCCGAAGCACCCCGGCCCGTGCGCGGGCGGCGCTGCAGAGACCAGCCGGCGGCCAGCGCTCCCCGCGAGGCTGAGTGGGCGTCCACACCGGGTCCCGGCCACCGCCTCGCATCTGCGCTGCGTCCGGCGACGCTCAGGCTGCAGTTCAGAAACTAAGGTGCGCTGGACCCCGCGTGGGCTACTGGGCCTTGCCCGCCTCCCCACAGCCCCGCGCGGGACACCGCCATGGAGGCCGGGCGGGGGAGGGGGCCTGGCCACGGCCGCCGGCCTGACCAAAGTTGACCAAGTGGCGGAGGAGGGTGGCAAAGGGACAGCCCGGTGCAGACCGCGCAGGCAGGGGTGGGAGGCGGGACCCGGGCAGGTGGGCCTGAGCGCGCAGGGTCTGAGCCGGCCCGAGCCGGGTGGGTGGAGGAGGAGGGCAGGGGCAGAGCCCTGGTGGGGAGGGGCCGCTCCCAGCCAGGTGCGCCCACCTGCCCCGCGTCACCGTGCAGCCCACAGACAGGCCAGGCCCACCTCTGGGTCCCCCAGCCTGGTGGGACCCGCAGAGCTCGGAAGGGGCCGCCCACCAGTGCCGGCAGGACAGAGGACAACAGCCAGGTGGGGCTGAGGGTCCGTGGGTGCGAGGGCCACTGGGGCGCTGCCCCCCAGCAGCCACCTTCCCCGGGCAGTGTAGGGGGCAGGGAGCAGGGAGAGGACGCCCGGCCGGGCCTGGAGACCGAGTACTGGTAGCCGCCCCGCACGGCCTGGCCCCCAGGGCCCAGGGTCTGTCCCCAGGCTGCCCAGTGGCACCCAGCCAGCGAGACCTCCCTCCTACACCCCCGGGCTGCCCCACGGCCCGGGCCCAGCCGGGAGTGGTGGCCCCACGGGGCAGGGCCCACGCAGCAGGCGCGCTGCCCCCCACACCAGGCTGACCTAGATTCTGTGCCCGCGAGCGGCGGCCAGGCAGAGCCACAGCCGGCTGGCGCCAAGACAGGCGGCCGGGTTCCAGGGCACACGCACCCGCAGCCAGCAGCCGCCCACCCCGGCCACCCCGATGTCCCGGCTGGCGGGTCGGGCTGGGGGCCCTGCAGGCGTCCTCCACAGCTCACTCCCACACCTCGCGCTCGAGCGCCCCGCGCCCCTCCCTGCCGGGGCTGAAGCCACTCGGCCACACGCATCCACAAAAACACAAAAACCCTTGAACGCGCGCGTGTGCACGGCCGGCGAGCAGCACCTGCAGTGCGGGTCAGGGTCAGGGCCAGGCTGGCTGAGGGCAGGGCCACTCAGGCCTGTGGCTGCTTGGGGCCAGGGAGCGGAGCGTCACCCGGCACCCTGGGCAGGCCGGTCACAGGAGGGTCCCGCCGAGGGCATGAAGGGCACGGGCAGAGCTGGGGTGTGCCAGGGGACAGCGCCGTGGCAGAGGCGCTTCAGCCCAGGACCTGCTGGGCGTGGTTCCCCCACTCCCGGCCCGTGGTTAGCGCCGGGTCGAGGACAGCGGCCGTCAGGGGACCCTGGCCTAAGACCACGCCGGCACCCCAGCCTGGGCCCGGGCGACAGTCGTGTGTGAGAGGCAGGCCTGAGCCTGCCCCCCGCCCCGACCCCACCCGCCGCTCCGGGACCGCAGCACCCACCCACTGGACACGCGGGTTGGAGGGGCCAGGCTGCGTGGAACCCGTCACGGGGGGTGGCAGGGCCCCTGGAGGGCCCACAGAGGCCGGCACCCCGCCCCGCGGGACCGGCTGGTGCAGGGGGGGCTGCGGGGCTGAGTCCTGGCGGTGCGGGGGGCACTGGGCTCTGGCTCGGCCAGCGGCCCGCGGCCCCGTGAGCCGCGGTGACCGGCGCCGGGAGCAGGGCGGGCGCGCAGCCAGCCCCGGCCACGCTGCGACAGGCCCAGATTTAATCGCCTCTTGCGCTAGAGGAAGAGCCGTTGCGTAAGCGCAGATATTAAAAGCCAGCAACTGGGAATACAAGGAGCTGATGATGGGAATTAAACTTGGCCTGAGACCACCCACGTGCAGTCCGGGCGGGGCCGCCTCGCGTGGGGCTGGGCGGGCGCCGCGGCCCCGAGCTGCCGCTGTCCCGGGGCTTCGGGAGGGGAGGGGTCGGCCGCGTCCCGACCAGGGGCTGGAGAGGGCAGGCGGGGGCCGGGCTGGGGCGGGGGCTGGGGACTGGGTCTCGGCTGGGGCCGGGGTCTGGGCTGGGCTGGGGGCCAGGATGGGGCCGGGGGCACTGCCCTGGAGACGCCCTCCCCGGAGATTCGGCTGCCGCCCAAGACAAGGCGCCGTGCCCGCCTTCCGAGAGCACGGGTCTGCCCAGGAGGCACAGCCAGCCCCCAGCTCCGAGTGGCTGCCCTTCGCCCAGGGGAAGCCGACGGGCCGGCAGGTTCTGACCCTGACCCCGCTGCAGACTTGGGCACGGACTTGAAGCCAGCGCGGGCAGCGGCAGGGGGAGGCCCGGGGTGAACGTGCAGCCCAGGGCTGGGTTTGGCCCTGCTGGGGGTTTGGCCCTGCTGCCCTGACCCGGCCCGGCGTCCCTCGGCGGCTTGCCCGTCACACGCTGCAGCCCACGCCGGGCCAGGCCCTACCCACGAGTGCCCTCCACCAGGCCCCACGGCCCCGGGCTCCCGCGCCTGCTGGACGGGCTGGATCCAGGTCTTTCCTGCCCTGCCCTTGGGCCCTCCCCCGGCTCCCCCGGCTCCCGGGCAACCACAGGGCCTTGCCACACTCATCCTGGGGATGGGGGAGCCGCCTGCCCCCTTCCGTGCTGGCCCCAGCCCTGCCCCCAGCCCCAGGCTGCGTGGGCCCCAGCAACTGCAGTGTTGCTCACAAGTGTTTATTTTTTCTTTAGGGCAAAAGAAACAAAGAAAAGGAGGGGGCGGTGCCCCCACAGTGAGTCACGGGAGTCAAAAATGGGGTGGGGGCAGCCCCCACGCCCCGAGGGCAGGACCGGAACTTTCCCACCCGCCCTGCCCGAGGCTGCAGACGTCCAGACGACCCACAGGGGACCCCGGAGGGCCCTCCCCGTGGCCCGTCCCCCTCGGGTGGGGCCGCCCTGTGACTCGGCCCACGGGCCCCGGCAGAGGAGGAGCCGGTCTCGGCTCACCCAGGTCCAGCGCTGGCCGCTGGCCTCAGAGGTCACCGAGCAGGAGAGGGGGTACTGAGCTAGAGGCAGGGGCGAGTGAGCCCACGTCACGGCCCTCTGACTGGCGGGAAGGACGGTGCCTGGAGCCCCAACCCCAGAGAGTGGAGGACGGGGGCCCAGCGGGCGGAGGCAGACGGCCCAGAAGGGCCCCGTGGCCAGACCTCACTCTCGTGTCCCGAGGACAGAGCCACCGACCGTCAGCCCAGCTGGCCGCCAGGCCCTGTGTCAGCCCGCTCCGGGAGCCCTGCACCCCAGCGTCCTGGACCCCAGACCCTGGGCCCGGGAGCCCTGGGCCCTGAGCGTCCTAGACCACAGACCCTGCCCGCCAGCGTCCTGAACAAGGGATGGCCAGTGTGAGGGGGCGCCAGGCGGGACCGCAGCCACTGCGATACCCCGTCCCGTCCAGGAAGCCGTCTCGGCCCCCAGGGGGGCGGGCTCCGAGCCTGGGGGTCCCGCCAGAGGCCGCGCCTCACTCCTCCTCCAAGACTCCGGACAGGCCAGAGCAGGGGAGGCCCAGTGCCCGCCCTCCCGATGGGCTGGGCCAGGGCAGGGCACGGGGTGGGCTTCTGGGGCTTGGGGGGCTCCCACGACCTCGCGTGGCCCCGGCACCACGCCCGGTGTGGCGCTGAGTCACTGGGGTTTTTTCAGGCACCGCTGAGTGCCAGGGGGCAATTTAGGTCTTTTGATGGGACAGGAGTGCGTGTGCCAGCCGCACCACCCCGGCAGGCGGGAGCCAAGCAGCCGCGTGACGCGGAGCCCGGGGGGAGGGCTGCAGCTGCGGGGGCGGGGGGGCTGCAGCTGCCCGGGGTGTGGGGCAGAGCGGTGCCCGGGCTGCTGTGACCTCTGCTCACTGGGGTGGGTGGGCCGGCTGCATGTTTGGGGTGTTGTGTCCTTGCGACGGGCTGTGTTCCTGGAGAGCGCCTGGGAGGGAGGCCCAGCCCCTGCCCCCTCCAGTAGCTGCCAGGGGGGTGCAAGCGGTGGAGGGCCCGGCGTGACGCCTGCTGACCCCAGCCCCCCGCCGCACGGGGGGTTTGGGGGGGCAGCCAGACCGCAGGTGCCGCGTGGGCCCCGCCGGTCCAGGCCACCCACTCACGGGCCCTGCGTGGCGGGGAGAACCTCAGCCTAGGGGCGGGGTGGTGCGGCAGGAGCACAGCCAGGCCCAGCACCCCACTCACCAGCCCACTTCCCAGTCGCAGCGCGTCGCCCTCCACAGCCCGGTGGCCGCGGCAGGGCCGGCCGGACACCAGGACTCGCTGTGGCGCCAAGCGCAGGAGCGCGCGTGGCCGGGCCTGAAATACCCGGAACTCCGCAGAGCCAGGGCGCGCCGGCCCCCAGCGGCCGAGCCGGACCCCACCTCCCGGGGTGCTGGAGACCCCTAAGGCCTGCAGCGCTAAGACAAGGAAGACATCAAGGCGGCGGCTGGACACATCGGGGCGCCCTTTCTCGGGCCCGCGCGGCTCCACCTGGGCACAGACCAGATCAGACGGAGCAACAGAACGGCCTGGGGGCGCCGGGCACGGCCCGAGCCGAGAGAGGGCTTCATCGGCTAGTGGCTGACCTGGGTGCGGCGGGGGGGGCTGCTGTATCAATGAAAACCAGGTGCACCCGCACTGGGGCGCTGGAGCAGGAGGAGAGGCCGCGCCCCGGCCCCCGCCTCGCGGAGACTCCTTCGTGTCTGTCACTTATTTCCTCGGCTCCGTCGGATTCTCTCAACCCCGCTCGGCGGAGCTGGACGCCGGCGCCGGCTCTGACCGCAGGCGGGGTGGGGGCGTCCAGACCCCACCTTGCCTCCGCCAGCCTCGGGAGTCGGGGCGCAGCCCAGGAAGAGGCCGGGAAGGGAAAGCCCAGGAGGCGGCCGGGCCCCCCACCAGGGCTCTGCCGGTGCGCCCGGCCGGGTGTGCGCAGGGGTGCAGGGCGGGCGGAGCCCCCGTTCCGCAGGGGCCCTGGGCCGGGAGACAGTCCTGAGGGGGCAAGGCCGGGCAGGGCAGCGCGGTGTGGCCGCTGCAGGGGGCCCGGGGGTCCTTCCTGGGGCAGGGGCCAGCCCCCCAGCACCACTGCGGCCCCTGGGCTTAGGGAGAAGGCAGGCTTCCTGGGGGGGGGTGCCTCTCCCTGGCCTGGGGGCCCCAACTCAGGCGCAGGAGCCTCCGCAGGGAGGGAGGCTATGCTTTGCCTGAAGGACTTTGCCAGAACCCACAGCTCCTGAGGGGAGCGGGGGGGGGGGGGGGGGCGGGGGGACAGGGGTGTGGGGAATGGAGGAGAGGGGTGCCCGGAGTAGGGGTGCAGGAGTGGGGGGCAGGGGAGTGGGGAGCAGGGGCACGGGGGACAGGGGTGGGGAAACCAGGCCCAGCTGGGGTGGGGCATGGCCGAGCCCGGGGCCATCCCCCGTCCCTGCCTCCTGCCCACTGGGTCGTAGCCCATCACTCGGAGGGCCCATGGGGCCCCAACTCATGCCCCCAAGTTGCAGGTGTGCCAACACCCCCCACTCCCCCGCATGCTTGCGCCTCTCTGCTCCCCACAACATCCCCCGCGGCGTGAAGGGCCCCTCGGCGTGGCAGGCTCAGGCGGAGAGTGGAGGACCCGGGCCCAGCGGTGGGCCCTGCCCTGGCCGCCTGGCCGCCTGCAGGCCCGTGCGTGCGGTGTGGCGATGCCTACTGGCGCCTGTGCGTGCGTCAGCTTGCGTGTGCACACGTGTGCGCGGGCCGTGTGTGTCTGTGCGTGAGCTGTGTGCCGTGTGCAAATGGGTGCCCGTGTGTGCCCGCGTGTGCAGGCGTGTGCGTGTGAGGGGCGGGCAGTGTGTGCAGGTATGTGCATGGTCGGGCCTCCGCGGGCCCCGGCCTCCCCTCGAGGGTCCAGGCAGGAGGGGTGCCCCCGTCCCCCCACGAGCCGGCCCCCCAGCCGGCCCCTGCACCTCCCCCACCCAGGTCTGCTGCGCAGCCAAGAAAACAGGTGTGCGTGTGTGATCTGTGGGGGTGGAGACCCCAGCGCCGAGCCCAGAGGCTGCCGGGAGCGCGGCGGGTGGCGGTGGGGCGGGGGAGCACGGCCGGCGCACACCCGCGTGGGGCCCGACCCCGAGCCGCTGGGCGCCCTCCTGCCCGGCCGCCCCGCTGGGCCCTTTGTGCTCGCGCGGGGGGATAAAGGCCGCTGGCAGCGGCCGCGGGAACCTCCAGGCCGTCCTCCCGGTGCGCCCTGACACAGCCGCTAAGGACAATCGGGGGTGGGCGCGCAGGGACCCCTGGGGGAGGCCGGAGGAGGGGCCCCCGGCCCCGCCCCGGGACCCCAGGCAGAACCGGGACCTGGGGCACCAGGCGCACCCCCACACCCGCCCCGTCTCCCACCCGCCCCTGGCGCCGGGGCCGGCCTGGTGGGGCCCTCGGGGTCCAGTCCCGGCTGGGCCGAGGTGGCCGGAGCGGGCAGCCACAGCGAGGGGGCGGGCGCCCCACCCGGCATGGCACGGCACAGGGCGCCCGCTGGCCCCCATCTTGGGGAGACTCCTGTGTTCGGGAGCGGGCAGGGGGCCGGGCGCACCCCTGAAGCAGCCCGCCTGGCCGGGAGCAGCACGCGGCCGCCTGGCCTCCCGCACCGCAGCAGGAGTGAAGACACGACGCGCTCGTCCTGCCCGGCCCGGCTCTCCCGCGGCTCCGGCTTATGTAACCCGCTCGCGGCCGCGAGGGCTGAGGGCTGTGGGGCCGGGCTTTGCCCTCCACACCCCAGGCGGCCCCTCCAGCCCCCACAGCCCCCACCAACCCGGGTCCAGCACCCCGGGGTCCGTGCCTGCTGCCCAGGGAGGGGTCGCTGCACCCCCAGCCCCCGCCCCCGGCCCCCACGGGAGCCACGCTCCCCACACCCGGGATGGGCCAGGGTCCCGCCAGCCACCCTCCGCGATGCCCAGGCTGCAGCCGTGCCAGGCTGGGGAGCATCTGGCCCTGCAAAGGGAGCCACGGGGACCCCAGGCCAATGCACGCCCACCGGCCCTGCCTCCAGCCCTTTCTGGGGTCCCAGTGCTCCCCGAGGGCCATGGTGGCGTGGGGTGGTGGGGAAAACAGGGCCCGTTTCTGGTCACCCAGGAGGGAGCCAAGCCCAGGAGTCCTGGGAAACACCCGTCCCCACCGTGACCTCTGACCTGCCCCAGCCCGGCGGCCTGAGCCCCTGGAGCTGAGCTCTCTGTGCCCGGGCCCCGGGGACCCCGGCAGACACAGAGGGGCTCCGGGACGAGCTTTGGGGCCCAGTGCCCAGGCCGCAGGGGGCCCGACGCCCTCTCAAGGCCAGGCACCGGGCACAGAGCACAGACCAGGCACACTGCCCCGTGAGGGCGTCAGTGATGTTTGCCCGCCCGTGCCAGGGGAGGGTGGGGGTCAAGTGGGGAGGGGGTCCAGCCCCGTAGCTCCCCTTGCAGCCCCGGAACCCCAGGAAGTTCTGCTCCCCTCCCCAGGAGCAACTCGCAGGCAGCTGGGCTGGGCACCCCGCGGCCCCGGAGCTGGGGAGGTGGCCCAGAGCGGGAAGCGGCACCTGCGGTCCAGGCAGATGTGCCAGGGCCACCGGAGAGGCCCCCGCACCCTGCAGACCCAGGCCCTGGTCCCGCTGGCCAGGGCACAGCTCGGACCGTGGCCACCCCAGGGCCGCTCAGCGCAGGGTCGGCCCCCCTCTGACGGGAGGGCACCCCCAAAGTCGGGGCCGGAAGTTGGCCGCGCGGGCCTCCCGCGCCTCGGCGGCGCTTGGCGGTGTCCAAGGGGCCCCGCGGACCCCCCCCGCCCCGCTGCCCCCAGACGGCGCCCCGCCTCCCCAGTCTGGACCTGGGGGCCGCCCGCCCGCGGGCGCCGGCAGGGGTGGGGGAGCGCGCCCCCCGCACGGGGCCGACCCGCCCGGCTGCGGCGCCCCCGCGCGTCCAGCCCCGGCCGCGGCACCTACTGCGCTTCGGCGCGGCGGCTCCCGCGTCCATTGTCTCGCGGCGGGCGGGCGGGCGGGCGCGGGGCGCGGGGCGCGGGGCGCGGGCGGGGCGCGCGGCTTCACCCCGCTCGGAGCTGCGCGCGCGGCGGCGGCGCTGACTCTGCGCCCGTGGGCGCCGCGCGAGGAGGCGCTGTCGCTCGTGCCGGCACCGCACCCCCGCCCGCCCGCGCCAGGAGGGGCCGCGCGGAACCCGCGGGGCGCGCAGGGCAGAGGACGGGGCGCTCAGCGGGGCCGGGGCGCCGGGGCTGCAGCCGCAGCGCTTGCCCCGCAGAGAGGCGCCCGCTCCCCGCTCCCCGCTCCCCGCTCCCCGCGGCCCCGCCCGGACCCCAGGCAGAGGCGCGCCAGGAAGGGGGCGCAGAACCGCGTCCCAGGCCCCAGGCTGGCCCCGGCAGAGCAGGTGGCTCAGCGCAGCGGGGACACGGGTGTTTGCCCGTCACCTCCCTGCGCACAGACACGCAGGCGCGCGGGCGCGCACACACACGCACACACACACACGCACACACACGCACACACACACGCACACACACGCACACACACACGCACACACACACACACACACACACGCACACACGCGCGCACACACACGCCCCCACCCCGGCCGGCTGGAAGACGGTCTGCATCAGGCAGAGCCTGCAGGAGAGCCCAGAGCTGCAGGGGCGGGGCAGCACTCCTGGGGAGCCCTGGGTCAGTGGGGGGGCACTTGCTGCTGGGCCCCGCTGCCAGAAGCGATGGGGGGGCTGTGTTCAGAGCTGGCCCCACCTCTTCCCCAATGGCCCCAGGCCACAGCCTCCCCAGCCAGCAGGGCCCCTACCCACTGCTCGGGGCCCAGAGCTGGCGGAGAGGTCCCTGCGCCCCGCAACCACCGTGGGAACTCGCTGCCAGGCCCAGCTTCCGGGGCCCCCTTCTCTGCAGGCGGCTGGGGAGGAGGAGCGGGGAGCCAGGAGGGCGTGTGTGCAGGGGGCCCTGGTGTCCAGAAAGGCCGGGGTCGCCAGCGCTTCCCCTGGCTCTGCAAGGACAGGGGACAGCGCCGATGGCAAGCCGCCGGGCCAAAGCCCCCCGCCCAGGCCTGTCCCCCGAGTTTCTCAGGTCAGCGGGCGCAGGCTTAGGCAGGCCTGTGGGTCCCTCCTGGCCCCAAGGCACTGGCTCTTGGCACCTGCTGGCTTGGCTGAGGCCTAAGGCCCTGCTCCCGGACACGCTGGGGGGCTGCGCTTAGCCACCAGCAGGGAGTCCACGGGCCTGGAGGCTCTGTGCCCCAGGGTGTCGCGGGGTGCTGCCAGCTTCGCAGCCTCTGCTCGGGGAGCACCAGGGACCCCCCGCCGCAGCTAAAGGCGCACCTGCCCGAGAGCAGCACAGCAGGTGTGGGGCTGCCAGTGCCCTTAGCGCCTCAGCCTCCAGCCCCGGCCCCACGGGGCGTTTCGCCCTCCCCAGGGCCTCAAGCCTTGCCTCACAGAGACGCCGGAGCAACCCGCCCAGCCGAGACCCGGCAGTACAGGCGGAGCGGCTTCCTGGGCACCGCGTGGAAAGCCCTCCCCCCGCACCCACCCACACCCCTTTTCCAGGCAGCCTGAGGCTGAGCTGGAGGGACCTGTAGGTGGACGCCAGGCTTGGGGGCCGGACCCCGCGGCCCAGGGACAGGCCACGGGAGAGGCAGGTGGAGAGCGGGGAGGGAGCCGACCCAGGGTGGAGAGTCGGAGACCGGGAGGCAGAGGCGCCGTAGACACCTGAGCCTCTGCGCCCACGGCCAGGCCCAGGGCAAAGTGGAAGCACAGAAGAAATGTGGATTCTGAGCCAGACACCAGGAATCCGGGCAGGAAGACCTGCAGGCAGGTGGGGCTCAGGGCCTCAGCGTGCAGTGCAGGCCGGAGCCCCCTGTCCAGGCCGTGCGGGAGAAGCCGGGCCTGCGGGGCAGCTGCAGGAGCAGGGCCGGCCGCCTGCCCCAGGCCCCCTCTGGCCTCCAGTCTGCCCAGCCCACCCACCCCTGCCACCCGAGCCCTGGTCTGAACTGCTGCGCCCACCCCAAACCCCCAGGGTCACCCCTCACCTAGCATTCCACGTCAGGCCCTAGAGCCGCCAGAGGACCCCACCCCAGGTCCTTCCACCTCCTGCCTGTTTCCAAGGCCTGGAGAGAGGTGCCTCCTCCAGGAAGCCATCCCTGGCCTCCCAGTCCAGGCCTGCGTCCCCCCTGCCTTGCAGACCTGTCCACTCCTCTGAGTTAGAGCCCACGCCTGAGCCACAGGCCTGCGCTCGCGGGAGAGGCCCAGGGCCTTGACCATGCTTCAAGACTGGACACCCAGCAAGAGAAGGAGGCCCCTGCAGACCGGGAGCCGCATGCCCACTGCACGCACACGCACACACACACACACACACACACACACACACAGAGGCCAGGCCAGCTTCTGGCGATCTCGGCAGAGAGGATGCGTGCCAGACGGGCCACTGTCGTGGGCCCTGAGACACCCGTGGGCAGGGACGCCCAGTGCCAAGCCCAGAGTGGTGGGCGAGACCGGCCCAGACCCCTCCTGTCGCCGAGGTCGGCCGGGCACTCGGCCCAGGCGCGCAGCCGGCAGAGCCGGCACACGCACGCCCAATCAATGCGTCTAATTGGGCAAATGTGCGATTCTCAGGCGCTAAATTTAGCAAGTGTGTGTTTCATCTGCTACCAGCATCTGGTCTCAAGACGTCCCGTTCCCGATCGGAGCCCAGGAGAACCTGCCGATCGGATATCAGCTCCCCCGGCTCACGCCACGCCAGGGCCCGGGCCTGGCCACCCCCGGGCACAGGAGGGGAGAGCGACCGGCCACCAGCCCAGCACGGGGTGGCCCTGCCCGAGCCCCAGGCACTGCACTGGGACGGGCGGCGCCCACAGAGGGGGACACGCGATCATCCCTGAACCCGTACACTTCTCCCTCGTGGGGGCAACCGAGGCACCAAGCAAGGATGGCCCTGCCCCAGGCCCCAAGACCCGGCGCCCCACAGCCCTTCCACGGCAAGGGTGCCCCCGTCTAGGTCCAGGCTGGCCCGGAGGGCTGCGGCGCCGGCCCAGGGGCGGACTCATGGTCCGGTCAGGGCTCGGCGGGCCTGGGCAAGGCCACGACCATGAGTCCGCCCCTGGGCCGGCGCCGCAGCCCTCCAGGCCAGCCTGGACGCGGGCGGCGGTGCCCATCAGAGGCAGGGGTGGGCTCCAGAGGCGCCACTTGTCCCGGGACCGGCGGCTGCCCCAGGGCAGACCCCTGTAGGCCTCAGGCCGGACCCGCAGAGATGTCGGGGGCGGGCGGGGGTGCGAGGCCCAGCCCGGCTGCCGTCCCCGCGCTCTCGTGGCTCCAGTTCTCGGGCCCGGGGCCGTCAGTGTGGGCCCTGCCAAGACCCCGGCCCGGGGGCAGACCCCGCACCCCCACCAGCCCCGCCTGCTGACGTGAGGAGGCCTCCCGGGGGTGAGTGGGGAGAGGCACTGGGCAAGGCCGGAGAGGGAGGCGGGGGCGGAGCCAGGTCACTCACGGTCTGGGACGCGAAAGCGAGGAGGCGCCACGGGTCAGCACCTGCAGGTCACCGAGACACCCCCCTCCCGCCTGCCCCACCCCCTCTCCGACGGCGCCCCCTTCCGCCTCCACCCTGAGTGCGCCCCTGCCTACCCCGCAGGGGGCTCCACGGGCAGCCCCTCCCCACTGGCCTGAGAGACGGCCTCGGATCCAGGGCGACGTGGCCGGAGAGCAGGCCCGGCTGAGCTGCACTGCTCGGCGCTCCCGGGTGGGCCAGCCGCTCCGCGGGCCGCAGCGTGGCGCGGACGCCCCCAGACACCAAGAGCCCCTGGTGCTCACTCGGCGCCCCCAGGACTCCTGGCCACGTGGACATCAGTGTGGCCGCCCGGGGAGAGGGGCCCGCGGGCCCTGAGGGACACCCAGATGGCTTTGCCCTGCTCGCCCCTGGCCGGGAGGGAGCCAGAGCCGGGCTCTGCTTGCCAGGGGGAGGCTTTCCCGGGGAGAGACCTTGCTCCCCCAAACCTGGGGCTCCACACCAGCCGCTGCCTCCCGGCCACCTGCCGACACCGTCCACACCCAGGGCGGAGGCTGGGCCAAGGGGACAGGGGGACTGTCGCGACGCGGAGCCCAGAGATTCTGCCCCGAGGCAGGGTTTGGTTTTGCCAAACCAGGCCGCGTCCCGGGCAAGAGGACGGGGCCTCCGCCTGGGCAGCAGAGGCTGCCCGTGGGCCCGGACGGGAGGGGCCCTGGCCCAGCAGGCCTGCCGGGGAGGCCCTGCCGGCTCTGCCTTCCGCAGCTGCCCCGCGGCCCCAGGCGGGGCTGATCAGGAAAGGGTCCCTGCCTCCTCCACAGCCGCTGGCTCAGCGGGATGCTGGGGACCACAGGGGCTTCAAAGGCCTGGCCCACATGAAGCGCAGCGCCGTGGACAGCGGGGAGCAGCAGGTGCAGCTGTCTGTGTCCGCCCGCCACTTCCTGCACCCCTGCCTTGCGCTCCCCACCCCCAGCCCGCGGCATCCAACACCAGGGGCCCGGCAGCCCGGCTCAGCGGGCCACGTGGAGGGCAGAGGGGGTGGCAGGGCCGGGGCTGGGCAGCATGGTGGGGCGGGGCCGGGGCGGGGGGGGGCACGGGCAGCCTCCAAGCCCGGGGGGCAGCCAGCGGGGCACCCCTGTTCCCACTCACCCAGGAGCCGGCCCTCCCTGGGGCCTGTCCAGCCCAGCGTGAAGTCTGCCCGGACCCCTCCCATCTCAGTCGGGTGCCCTGGCTGCTGGGGACCGGGCCCGGGGTCTCCCAAGTCACCCGCAGGCGTGAGGTCTGGGAGCCGCCGCTGCACTGTCCCGTGGGCCTCCAGCCTATGGGGTTGGCTGAGATGCCAGTGACCTGCACAACCAGGCCAGCCCGGGGGGGGCTGGTGCCCCAGCTGGTGCCCGCTCCAGACCGCTCACCGGAGCCCGGCCCTCCCGCAGCGGGGACCACGGAGCAGGTGCCGGTGGCTGCTGGCTCTCCCCTGGGCCGCAGCCTGAGCGGCTGAGACTCCGGCAAGACCCGCAGGCCCGCAGCGCGGGGCACCTCACCCACACTGCCGCCTGGGCCCCTCGGGGCACACCTGCCACCGACCAAGGCGGGCGCACGGCACTGGGGGCAGCCAGGCCGGGCCGAGGCCACACAAGTCTCCGGGCCAGCAGGGGACAGCGCCGGGTGCGGATGCCTCCCAGCGCCCCAGCACAGGGGCCAGGCCTCCGGCCACCCTGCCTTCCCCACCAGGGACCCGAGGCCCCTCTAGGGTCAACCTGGGCACCCACCCAGCCCCCAGCCTGGCCCCCAGCACGGCCTGGCCGCACGTCCCGGGCGTCAGGGGGCGGGGGCGGGGTTTGGGGGCGGGGCGGGCCCGGGGGCGGGGACGTGGGCAGGAGTTGGTGCCGCAGGGGGAGGCGGTCGGTCGCGGGGTCCCCTGTCCTCAGCACTGTCACCCCGAGTCCGCTTGCTCCCCCTGGGGACCCTGCCTGGGCCCTGAGGCCCCCGGCCCCTGTGGTCTGGAGGGGGTGCCCCGGGGTCCCCTCCGCGGGCACATGCCCGGGCACATGCGGGAATGCTGGGGGAGCAAGCCCGGCGGCTCCGGGGAGCCCGGGGGGCGGGCGGGGAGCGCGGCCCCGCCAGCGCCCCAAGTACGCGGCGCGCACGTGCAGCCCCGGCGAGCCCGGGAGCGGGGGTGCCCCGGGCGGCCCCCGCGAGCAGCCGGCCCCACCTGCAGACGCCCGGGCCGGGGCGCGCTCGGGGCCGCCCCGTCCGTGTCCCCCAGGGGCCGCCGGGCCCAGCGAGGAGGACGCGGCGGCCGCGGACGGACAGCGTGGCCGGCCCGCCCCCCAGGGCCTGCGCTCGGGCGGACACGGGCCTCCCCACCCCGGGCCACGGCGAGCGGCGTGAGGTGGGGCGCCTCGGCGGGGTTCACGGCGCACCCCGCGCCAGGCTGGTGCCCTCGGCTGTGTCGGGCCAGGGGCCGCGGAGCCTGGGACGCGCGCAGCGGGCAGGGGGCACAGGGGCCGGCTGGCCACGGCGGGTGTGGGCCAGGCCGGGCCCAGGTCTCCCGCCCGCCCGGGGAGCCGGCGAGCCCCTTCCCAGCAGGACCGGGCCAGGCTGGGCGCCCGCCCGCCGTCCCACAGGCCTCACTCACCCACGGGCAGGACGTTGGCACTCAGGAAACGCCGTCTGCTCTGCAGGGGGCGCGCCGGGGCCTCGGGCGGGGGCGCCGTCATGGTGCCGGTGCTCCGGGCGCAGCCGCCGGTCGGTCACAGCGGGGCCGGCTGTGTGAAGGACAGGAGGCTGCGCTGAGGACCCTCTGCCCCAGGGCCCCCCATCCCCCGCCGGGGCGGCCTCTGCCGCTCACCACACACCTGGAGAGACAAGGGCAGCGGGCAGTGGCCTGTCCAGCGTCCAGGGCCCAGCACCAGCGTCCTCTGCTGGAGAGTGTGGTGTGACGGGGGTGCGTGGGAGGGGCGGCCTCCTGCCCAAGACCCGGTCTTGGGAGAGTAGCAGTGGGGACAGAGGACCAGTGACCAGTAGCTGGGGCCAGCGTGACTGTCTCTCTGACCTGGTGCGTCTCCAGTTTGATGAAGGTCAAAGGCAAAGGAGGGTCCCTTGCGGCAGCCTCGGGTCCTCGGGCAGATGGCGCTGGGGCCACTGACCAGCCCGGCCCGTGGTCCGTGTGGGGAATGAGGCCCCTGTGCTGCCCACACCGCCTGCCCCTTGGCCTCTTGACTGGGCCCCGAGACCCACATGGGCCCCGGCTCCTCGTGGCCACCCAGGGGCTCAGCCCCGCCCCCCACTCAACCTCCTGCCTAGAGCCCTTCCCACCTCCTCCGCCTGCCCAGCCCCCCCCACCCCCCTCTCTCCAGGCCCTCGCGCCAGAGCTCCGGGCTCCAGGGCCCTCAGTGTCCAGGACAGAGCTTCTGGGTCTCAGGTGGACACGGAGTCCCCTTCTCCACGAACCCAGAGCCCCGCTCTGTCCAGCTGGGGCAGCACCCCTCCTCCCAAGGGCTCCTCTGGGCAGGCCTGCTGACGTTCTCCCTCATGCCCAGCCCTCTGGGGGCCCTCCGGCCCCAGGCCCTCCACCTGGCCCCCCCCTCCGAGATTGCAGCAGACCTGGGACGGGCTGGCCTGCGCCCGCGGGGTGCTATCCTCAGAAGAGCAGGAGTGGACAGCAGCTGACCTGACGCCCCAGAGCCCTAGGACTCGTGGCTGGCCCTGCCCACCCAGCCCTGCACAGGCCTCCCTCCTCTGCTGCCCTGGCTCCAGGCTCACCCGCGGATGTGGGTGAGGCCGGCTCCCGTGAGTTCCGGCCGCTGCCGGGCCCCGAGCAGGCTCTGAGCTTCCTGCTGCGGCGGGCCCGGGAGCTGTGCCTGGACACGCCTGCCGGGGCGCCGGGCGTGGGGCTCGGCGGGGCTGGCACGGTCGAACCTAATTAGGCAACGGCACCAGCCACAAGCCGAGGCGAGGCCGCTGGGCTCCGTGCGGGCAGCCGTTGGCACGGCCGGGCAGCATCACGTGGGCGAGCTGAGTCCCCGGCCCACCCATCCCTGCCCCCAGCCAGGCCAGGCCCCTCAGGGCACCCCCACCCCAGAGGCAGCCGCGGCCCCACTGGGCACCCTGCGGTTCCTGGGCCTGAGAGAGCAGACGGGGCGGGGGCCACGTGGGGAGGACGCAGGGTTCCCGGGAGCTGCAGCTGACCCCGTGGGCCTCCCCAGCCCCGGCTAAGGGGGGCGGCCCACCAGGCCTCCCGTCTCAACCTGGCTGCCAACGTCAAGCCCCGGCACTGATCACCGTCCTCGGCTGACCACTCACGGATGGCACCAGGCAGTGCCAGCTGGGCCAGGTATGGTGGGACAGGGCAGGGCAGCCCCCGCTCCCAGCAGCTGGCCCGTTCGGTGAGGATGCCCAGGCCGGCCCCAGCCCCGCCGACCCTGTCCATAAGACGACTGACCCTTGTCCTCGAAGCCACCAGGGGCGCGATGCCACTCCGCAGGCCCCAGCGGGTCAGGCCATCGCGTCCGGCCACTCACAGGGTCCCTGCCGGAGGCCCAGGCCCAACCAGCGCAGGCCGGCACCTCCGTCTCCCAGGCCAACGCGCCTTTCGCAGAGTCTGGCGGGCAGCTGGAGGCCCAGCCGCCCCCCGCAAGCCCCAGCCTGCCCCCTGCGCTCCCTCCCACCTCTGCGGCAGCGCCAGGAAGCAGAGCCGCCCCCCTCGCTGACGTCCCCCTGGCTCGGGAAGCCCCGGGAGACGCCCAGCCTCTGGAGGAGAGGAAGGATCGGGCCGCACCGGCCCCCAGGCCGCAGACAGCCACGCTCTGGAGGCGCAGACTGAGGCCCCGAGAGGGCAGGACCCCCACCCGCGGGTGTGGCTGAGCTGGGACCCCCAGGGCTGACCCTGTGTGGTGCCCAGAAAGCCACATGCAGCCCCCCTTCCCCAGACCCCTCACCCGGGCCTCCCCACGGTCTCCGCGCAGTGGCGTCCGACAGGGAGGGCCGAGCCTGGTGATGAGGGCAGGTCAGCCCCGGTGGCCAGTGAGTCCCCAGGAGCCTGCCTCTGCCCCCGGAGCATGGCGGTGGGCCCGGAGGAGCGACCCTGGCCTGGGGCACACAGGCCCGGGCTAGCCTGGCGGCCACCCTTGCCCAGAACAGAACCCGAGCAGGCGGGCGGCACGGGGCGGCCAGGGTGAGGCTGGGGTCGGGCCCGGCAGCCGCCCCTTGCAGGGCAGCAGCCGGGCTGGGGCAGGCGTGACAGGGCGCTCCACCACATGTGGGGCCCAGCCTGGACGGGCGTCCCGGACAGAGGGGGCTCTGGACCAGGCCTGAGGCCCGCTGCCCACCCTGGCCGCCCCGAGCCCCAGGGAGATGCTCTGGGCAGGCCTGTAGGGGGGGGAGTGGGGCGCCCCAGGGCGCAGAGCAGAGGAAGCGCGTCTCAGGCTCAGAGCCCCGCGAGCAAAGTGGGGTCAGCACCAGGAGACGCTGTGCCTCGGGGTGCTGCTCCCCGGGTGCAGCCACGGAACCAGGTCCTGTGATGCAGTGCACCTGCTCCGCCAGCTCAGAGTCTGACTTGCCTGCCCCCTGCAGGCCTGCAGCCCCTGGGGCCCCGCACACCGGCAGAGGATGCGGGCGCCAGGCCAGGCCTCAGGAGCCCTCGCGGGGCAGAGCTGCTGGGGAGGGCTGGGGGCGACTGGGCTGTGGGGTGGGGTCTCCAGCGGTGTGAAGTGTCTGCCCCACCACCAGAGCCCTCTGCGCCTGCCTCCTGGTCCAAGGGCGACCCCTTCCCCAGGGGAGCGCAGGGTCCCCAGAGGGTGGGTGGCCACCGGGCCTCCTGTCCTCAAGCTCCACGACCCCCCCCCGCTCCCCCCAGCCCCCAAGACCCACCCACCCCCGCCCAGACCCCCCCCACCCGCCTACTTGGGCTCAGCGCCAGGCCTGCCTGCAGGAGGCGGGGAACTCTGCGCCCCCATCCCAGCCAGCGGTCTCGGTGGAGGGAAAGGTGGGGAGCAGAGTTGGGAGCCGGACCCTCCCCCATGGCAGCCCCATGGCCCTGGGGCCCTGGGGAGGGGCCAGCGTGGGGACACTGCACCCCCATCCCTGGGTCCCACCCAGCTCTACCGAGCGCCTGACGGTGACCTGGGGAGCCCCCGAGGGCGGCGGGGCCAGCGGGTCCGGCTCCCAGCCTGCGCGGGCCAGGGGTGGCTGCAGCCGGGCGGGCCAGGGGAGCCGGAAGTTCCCCTGGCAGCTGGGACGCCCGCCACTGGGGCCAGGAAGGGGGCCCCGCTGGCGTGGGGGCCGCGGGGGGCCGGGCCGCGGCCTGGGCGCTGACCCCGGGGAGCTGCTGGGAGGTGAGGAGTGCGGGAGCTGCCAGAGCAGGTGCAGCCCGCGCCTTCCAGAGGTGTCCTGGTCCATGGCGGGTGGGGCGAGAGGGTGGCTGGCCCTCGCATGGCCCCTCAAGGATGGGCGTGGACACTGGTGCACGCGCTGGGCGATGAGGGGCCTCAGGGCTCAGGCACGGCGCGGGGCTCCTCTTGCCGTGAGGTGGCGCGTGGGGGCCGTGCGGCCGGCCGGGAGGCGAGGGTGGACGGGCGGGTGCTCGGACGGGCTGTGACAGACCAGGGCGGGAGGGACGGGCGGCACCGCCTCCAGGCAGCGCGGTGACCCACGGGCTCGCACCCGCACCTCCCTGCCCAGTGCCCTCCCCAGGCTCTGGGTCTTCTGGCGCCCGCCCAGGGCTCCCGCGCTGCCCGCCAGCTTCCAGGCCCACCGCCCCCTACCCCCAGGACCCCAGACTCCAGCGGGCCAGGACCAAAGCCACTGCCCGGGGAGTGAAGAAGGCGGCACATCAGTCCCCGGCCAGCACCCTGATGCTGCGGGCTGCCCCTCGGGCGGCGGTGTGGTACGGCCAGGCTGCTGGGGGGCCGCCGACGCACCCCGAGACACGTCCCAGCCTCGGCGTCCCAGGTCCTTACCAGCAGGTCGGTCAGAGGAACGGGCTGCTACAGCCCCGCCCCCACCTCCCAGCCCCTCTCCTGGGCGCGGTCAGGAAGGTCGGGTCTGCTCTGTCCCTGCGGCGGGCACAGCCAGACACGGGTGGCCAGATGGCCCTCACCCCAACCCAGATGGGGGGGTCAGCGCTGGACGCCAGGACCCAGGACTAGGCTTTTAGACCCCGGCACCCAGGCCAGGCAGGGTGACAGGTGCTGGGGTGCAGGCCCAGGAGGGACCTCCCGGGGCCCTGCCAGCCTCCATCCCAGGAGCAGCTGTTTTGGGGGGCACCTGCCTGCCCGCCTCACCGACGCAGGAACTCCTTCCTTCCGGCTGCTATTCCAGAAAACCGTGGCGTTCTCCTGGCGCCTGGGACGCAGCAGGGACCACCGTAGGTCCCACCCATGTGGCTCGCTGTCAGGGGACAGGGGCAGCCCTCGTGGCCAGGGTGAGCCCGCCCGACCGCTGGGGTCCTCTGCCCTCACTTCTCAGAGGCTCGTACCTCCCTTGGGGCCCTTGAGGTGTCAGTCAGGTTCAGACCTGGAAATTGACCCCCAGGGACTGGGGAGCCTCTGGGGGTTCTAGCGCAGGCCGACGGGGCTGCTGGGGTGACTGCCCCACCAGGGCCCCCGCCAAAGGGCATCGGGCGGGTGGAGAAGACGGCCCCCCCGCAGCCCCACCTACAAGCCCGGTCCCCGGCCCCGCGGTGCCCCCTGGGAGGGAAACGCCTCTTTGGGGCTTCCGACGCCACCCAGAGCTTCCCCGGGAGCAGGTCAGGGCCCGCCGCGCCCGGCTCCCCCCGCACGGCGCGGAGCGGCTCTTGTTATGTTAACGAGGTAACGTTGGGAGGCTCGGGAAGAGGCTGGTTGCCGGGAAACCGCCGCTGCACACCAAGGGCGGGGCTTCCAGCCGGGGGAGCCTCCACGGAGCCCCAGAGGCCGGCCCCATAGCCCAGGGCTGCTTTGGGGAGCGGGTGCCCCTGCAGAAGGCCTGGCAGCCTGCCCCCCACCCCTCCCCCTGGCATCTCTTCCACCGGCCGCTCCTTGGTCAGGAATCCGTGTCCAGCGAGTGAGGCGTCCCGAGTCCCAAGCTCGGCAAATCCTGCAACCTGGGGGCCACCCCCCCCACCCCGACCCGGGGCCTGTGCCCTGGGCAGTCAGTCAGAAGCAGGGGGCAGGCCCAGTGAGATGGGTGGGCAGGGCCCCGGACTCCCCCAGCCTCTCCTGGGCCCCTGCAGGCAGGCGGGCGCGGGCCTGGGACACACCCTCGGACTCACCCCCTGGCCCCCTTCATGGGGTCCACGAAGACTTGCTGTGAAAGTGCTTGAGGGCCTCTGCTGCGGGCGCCCCCAGAGCAGGGACGAGCCTCCCCCAACCGGGCAGCTGGACCTGTGCTCTCCGTCCATGCCAACCAGCCAGCCCGGCCCAGGGGCTGTGAGGAGCCCGCAGGTGGCTGCCTCCTCCCAGGCCGGCTCCCAAGGCCCCCTGGCTCCAGCCCTAAGGGGGAGGCCGCGCAGGAGACGGTGCGGTGCAGACTGGGGGGGGGGGGAGGGGAAGGGGGAGGACGGGGGGGGGGGGAGCAGTGAAGGGACAGGTGGGGGTGCTGGGAGCCCCACCCCTCCCGTGTTGGACAGCCGGGCCCTGGGCTGCGGGGCAGGGCCACGCGATGGTGGCTGACTCGAGCCCCTCTGCAGACCTGGACACCGCGAGGAGGAGACAGTGCCAGAGAGCGACCGGGGCCCCTGCTCCCAGTGGGGTCATGAGGCAGCGTCCAGCTCAGTGGCCACTGGAAAGGGGAGTGACTGCACGGTCAGGCTACGGGCAGGACAGCAGGGCCCATGCAGAGGAAGGGGGCCTCGGAGAAGGGGGCTGGCGCCTGTCAGAGGTCACAGGCGGAGGGCGCCTCGGCAGGCAGGGACGGGGGAGGAAGCAGAGCAAGGGCCCCGCAGAGCTCTGGGCCACGGCTCGGCTCCAGGGGCAGGGGGCCAGCACCCTCCGAAACCCGAAACCCACGTCAGCCACAGCCCGCCTGGGCCTGCCCTCCCGTGGGCTGAAGGCCCGGTGTCGGGTCTCCCCGCGTCCTTGGTTCAGATCCAGGTCACTCAAGAGGGAGAAACGCCCTCCCCAGCCCCAGGCTCCTCCGCAGGTCGACGGCGCCACCTGCTGGCCCTTCTGGCTCTGACCCCCACACCGGAGGCCAGGGGTTCAGCACCACACTATGAAGCTGTCCGCAGCCTCTACAGCACAAGTTCGATCCCCGGCCGGCCAGGGAGCTACCCACAGGGTGCAGCAGACCTCGCCTGTCTCGCCCGCTGCTCCCCTCAGCAGTGTGTTTCAGTCAGTCTGCCTGTTCTGCTCCCCGCCCTGTCTCAGGTGGATCCTCTCACACCCCACACCTCTGGCCTGCACCCCAGCTCTTGTATAAATAAATAAATACATCTTAAAATAAACAAATAAATAAATAAATAAATAAGTGAAGTCCAGCTGTGGCCGTGGCTGGACACTGGGCCTCCAAGCTCTGTCCCCTGCAGAGAGGGGTGTCGGCAGGGCCCTGCGCCTGCTCCCACCCGGGCCCCCCACCTTCTGCGGGCCTGGAGGAGGGCCCCGGGAGGAGAACACAGGAGGGGGCGGGCGCCCAGGGAGAGGCGCTGGCCTGGAGGGGCGACGGCGCCCACCCCCGCGGGCCCCCCGCGGCCTGCTCCAGAGCCGCCGCCGCCGGCTCTGGCTCCCCGCTCCTCGCGCGCCCCAGCGGGCCGCGGGCTGGACTGAGGGGCGCCGCAGGCCCCCGCCCCCCGTGAAGCGCGTGGGAGGGCGGCGGCCAGGCCGCGGGAGCACCACGCCGCTGTGGCGCAGCTTGAAGTCATTAGTAAATGTCCGGCAACACTTCAGGAGATGCGCGGGGCACAGGGCCAGGCCGCCCCCCGCCCCCGCCCGCGCGCGCCCCCCGCCCGCCGCGCCCCCGCCCCCCCCGCCCGCGCCCCCGCCGCGCGCCCCCGCCGCGCGCGCCCCCGCCCACGGCGCCCGTGGGCCCCACGCCCTCGCCGCGCTGCGCCGGCCCCGCCCCGCCACGCCACGCCCCGGCCCCGCCCCCCGGCCCCGCCCCGCCCGCCCCGGCCCCTCCCCGGCCCCGCCCACCACGCCGCGACGCCCCGGCCGGCCCCGTCCCCGAGTCGACGCACAAAGTGCGCGCCCAGCGTGGTCGTCATCAGGCATCGCCCGCGTGGGCGGGGCCACGGCCGGCCCGCGACCCAGCGCCATGGCCCCCGCCGCCGCCAGCCCCCCGGAGGTGGTCCGCGCGGCGCAGAAGGACGACTACTACCGCGGCGGGCTGCGGAGCGCGGCGGGCGGCGCCCTGCACAGCCTGGCGGGTGAGCCGGCGCCCGGCCGCGGGCCAGGGGGCCTCCGCGGGGCGGGGCGGGGCGGGGCGGGGCGGGAGGGGCCCGCGGGCGCCCACCCGCGCGCCCCGGGGCCGCCGCCGCGCCCCGCCGGCCTCCCGCGCTGGCGCCGCCCGCAGAGCCGGGCCCTCGGGCGGTGACCGTGGGGCCGCGGGGTCGCCCTCGGGCCGCGCTGGCCGGACGCCCCGGGGCCGGCGGCAGGTTCCCGGGAGACCCTCCGGGCCGGTGGGCTCCGGCCGCGGGCGAGGCGGAGCGCGCGGCGCTGAGGAGGGCGTGGAGCGGGGCGTGGGGCCGGCGGCCGCGCCTGTCCTGGCGCCCCGGCAGCGTGAGTGTCCCGCAGGCGCGAGGAAGTGGCTGGAGTGGAGGAGGGAGCTCGAGCTGCTCTCCGACGTCGCCTATTTTGGCCTCACCACGCTCGCAGGTAGCAGCCCCCACTGGACCCTGGGACTCAGGGTCTCCCTCTAGCCGCCACCCCGGGCCAGTGGACAGGGCTGCTGTCCCCGTGTCCCTGGAGCCGGCCAGTGCAGCCTCTGGGAACGGGGGGACCCATGTGCCCCCACCCTACCCCCCTAGCAAGCCAGCCCTGAGCGGGTGGGCGGTGGCTGCAGGCGGGAAGGTCTCTGCCCTTTGTCCTGGCCAGCGTGCTCTCTCCGTCCTCCTCGTGTTCCTGGGACCGCTGTCCAAAGTGTCCTTGGGACTTTCTCCATCGCTAACCCTGGGGGCCCGTGGGGGGTCTGGCACTGAGCCCTGTACAGGGTGCGGGCAGGGAAGCCGGTCCTGGGACCAAGCAGCCACCCTCCTGCTGCAGTGCACAGGCCGGGGACAGACAGTAGACCCGTCAGAGGCGGGGCAGGGGCTGGGAAGGGGGCTTCCCAGGTGGGCAGAATTGGGTTGGCCAAGGGGCCTGAGGGGACGTCCCTGGTGGGGACCACCAGTAGGCAGGCGAGGAGTGGTTGGAGGCGCAAGCGACCCGCAGGCTGGGATCACTGGCTTTCCCTCCAGAGGAAGCCAAAAGAGGGATGGTGGGCGCAGACTGGGACACCCCGGGGTGACAGTGCTGAAATGGGGTGGCGTGCCTGTCAGGTGTTCAGGCAAGTCAGGGCAACACTGAGGCCTGTGGCCTGGGGAGTGGGTGGTGTTGGGTGAGTTCGCATGTTTATCGCATGTTCTCTTAGCAGCCACCCGCAAAGCCTGGTGCTGGCTGGCGTGGAAAGTGGGGTGTTGTGGGCGCAGGCAGGGGAGAATGGAGTTGATTGCCTGGGGCAGTGGGAGGGCCGGGCGCTGCTACTGAGGAGGGGCCTTGCAAGACTGGGGCGCTTAGGGCAAGTGGGCACAGGTCAGGAGGCCACTGCCAAGGCCCAGAAGCCCCTCACTGCAGAGATGGGGGTGTAGCAGGAGGACAGGGACCACCACACAGGACAGAGCCTCTGTCTCAGGGCACCCAGTCCCTGTGGGGCTCCTCAGTGGCGCCCTCGGTGTCCCCGTGCCCGCAGGCTACCAGACCCTCGGGGAGGAGTACGTCGGCATCGTCCAGGTGGACCCGTCTGGGCGCCGCGTGCCCTCGGGCTGCGCCGCGGCCTGCTGGTGGCCCTGCACGCCGTCCTGCCCTACCTGCTGGACAGAGCCCTGCTGCACCTGGAGCACGAGCTGCAGGCAGATGGTGGTGGGCGGCCCTCCCAAGGCAGCCTGGCGCTGGGGGGCGCCGGCGCTCAGGGGCCCGGCGTCTGGTGCAGCGGCACACGGCCGGGCTGTCGGAGCCGCAGCGGAGGGCGCTCCTGCAGGTCACAGCGGGATTGCGGTGGGGCCTGGGCTGCCTGCAGCGGCTCCACGTAGCTTGGTTCTACATCCACGGCACCTTCTACCACCTGGCCAAGCGGCTGGCAGGCGTGGCCTATGTGAGTACAGGCGCGCGCGGTCCGCTGGCTCTCGGGGGCTGGGCCTGGAGCCCCTCAAGACGCCTGGGATTTGGAATCAGCCCCAGGTCACACCCAGGATGCTGAGACCTGGGCGCTCTGGCCCTGTTCAAAGAGCCAGGCGAGGGGGGTCTGCCTCCCGGGGCGGCGGCGTGTGAGGGTGAGGGTGCTCCTCGGGCGCATGCAGCCTGTCCCCGCAGATGCAAGGGGCACGTCTTCCTGACCATGACCCCTCACGCCAGCATCCGCACGGGTCTCAGGTCCAGCCCGTCCTGTCGTGGGTCTCGGCAGTGCTTCGCAGTCCGCCGAGACCCCTCCCAGCCCAGGCCCGCCGTCCCGGTGCCTCCTGCTCCCTCTGCGCCCTCCCCATTGGGCCCTCACTCGACTCCCGGAACGAGGCTTCTTGCCCGGTGCTGGCGGTGGCTGGGCTCCGACACGGCCGTCCCCCCCCGGGCCTCTGGGGCGCTACGTCCACCAAGGCTGGACCTGCCCCCGCCCCGGGTTTGGGTGCCAGTTCCTGGGAGACCGGGCAGGGCGGGGGTGGCTGGCTGCCCCTTCGGAGGCGGAGCCGGGAGCGGTGGCTGTCGTGCTGCAGAGGCGGCTGGGCCACGGCGGCGCCTGTGTGGGCAGGCACCTTGCGGAGCAGGCGGAGGTGGTCGGCCTCTGCCCTTTCTGGCACCCGGTGCCTCTCAGGCTGCTTTGTCGCTTCCTTCTCTCTCCAAGCGGTGGGTCCCAGCACACGCCCCGCCCTCGCCCCGCAGACCGCGCCTGAGCTCGCTGGCGCGGCAGGTGGCTCCTGTCAGGAGCAGGGCCCTGCCTGTGCCAGGCCCTCCCCCCCACCCCGTGCCCCTCAGCCAGGGCGCCCTGCACCCCGCCCCCGCTGCGCCCTCGGCGAGGCAAGGTGTTTCCTCGTCCCTCGGCAGCTCCGCGTCCACCGCCCGCCCGCAGAAGACACGCAGGCGCGCGCCAGCTACCGGCTGCTGGGGCTGGTGTCCCTGGCGCACCTGGCGCTGGCCGCCGGCCTGCAGCTGCTCGCCCTCCGGCAGAGACGTCGCGCCCGCCGCGACGGGAGGCTGCCCCGAGGCCTGGCCCACCGCAGGTGTGTGGCGAGTGGCTCGGGCGGGCCCCTGGGTGGGTGCGAGTTCTCGGGACTCTCTGCTCTCCCAGGAGCCACGCGGAAGACAGAGCGGCCCCCAGGGGCTCCCTGTGCACGCTGTGTCTGGAGGAGCGCCGGCACCCCACGGCCACGCCCTGTGGCCACCTCTTCTGCTGGGAGTGCGTCACCCAGTGGTGTGACACCAAGGTGGGCACCTGCAAGCAGCGCCCCTTGTGCACCCCACTGAGGCCGCGGGCGTTTCTCAAAGCCCCCAGGCCTGCCGCTGGGGTCTGGACTCCAGCTGGGAGCCGAGGGGGAGGCAGGAGCTCCTGCCCTGGGGCTCGGGTTATCGGGGCCTCCCGAGCCTTCGGGGGGCTGCTGGGGACACCATGCCCCCACCCCACTGGCTGCAGGGGGGGTCCGGTGCCAGGGACCCGCTACCCGCAGGCTCAGCGGCAGCCCCGAGAGGGGGCGGTGCCGGCCTGTCTCCCGGCCACCACCTCCCCCGACATCCAGCTCCGTGCAGGGCTGGCGTGGAGCTGGCACCATGGCCCCCGCCGCCCAGGTCCTGGGCCTCAGCACCTGTCGGGTCGCTGCCCCTTCGCGCGGCCCCCAGCGGCGCTGGGAAGGCAGCACCGGGCCTGCCCCGGGCCGTCGCTCCCGAAGGGGATGCTGACCCCGCCCGCCCCCGCAGACGGAGTGCCCCCTGTGCAGAGAGGCGTGCCCGCCGCAGAAGCTCGTCTACCTGCGCCACTACCGCTGACCCGGCCCGGCGCGCCGCCGCCTCACCTGTCTGGCCCCGAGACCGCGCCAGCAGGGCGGGGGCAGCTGCCGGACCCGGCTGCACCGGCGGGCAGTGCCAGGGTCCGGAGGCCCCGCACTCCCCCCGTGCGCACCTTAGGACAGCGGCTCCTCGGGAATTTCTGGTTTGGACGCGGCCTGGGCTTCCCTCCCGTCCCCACCGCCAGGCCAGGAACGCCAGGCAGGCCGGGCCTGGCTGGGCCATTTGTGAGGAGAAAGGGATCCCGGCCTCGGGTACCTGCCGGAAAGGCCGCTGTGGCCACTGGCCAGAGAACAGCGGTCACTCCAGGCGTTCCCGAGACCCGAGGCGGCTGCTGGCCGAGGCGGCGGGGCCCCACCTCCACGAGCCCTCAGGGACGCCGGCAGCTGCAGGCCCGGAGCGATGCTCAGACCGCAGAGCCCTGACCAGGGCCACGGGGCAGGGGCAGCCCCCGGGCCACAGGGCCATCCGGGCCGCGCAGGGCTGGCGTGTTCCAGAGAGACGACGCGGGGCGGGGGGGGGGGGGGGAGGCCGTCTTTAATAAAGTTGGAATTAAAAAGCCACTTAGTAAAATGTTGAAGAGTATTTCGCTTTTTATCACATCAAAAAAGTCGACATGCAGAGTCAGATGGTTCCCGTGGAGGGGGCGGCGGGGCCGCCCTCACAGAGGCTGCGCCGGGAGGGCCGTCGCGTGAAGGACTTTAAATTAATTGGGACAAAACAGACGTATCAAAGAAATGTGCCAAAATAATCTGAAACAATTAAAATATAGTACATGTATTTATACCCCCAGGCCCTCGAACGCGATCGTGGGAGTTTACGGCGGCGGGCGGCGGGGCGGCGCCGGGCGGGAGACCTCGAGGGAGACGAGGCGGACGCTGGCGTGAGGACGCGGGCGGGTCGCCGTCCAGCCGACGGGCCTTCCGGGACGCGCGTCCTCCGGCGGCCGGGCCCGGCCAGGTCCTCAGAGGCGGGGGTGCAGCCCGGTCCCTACGTGGGGCTCCAGGAGGCGCGGCCCCCCCCTGCCCGCCGCGGCCCCCTGGGCCTCCCCGACCACGGCCCGCGGTTCGGTTGAAGCGCCGGTGTCTCCGGACCCTGGTGATCAGTTACAGACAGAAGCTCCTTTCGAAAAGAAAATCCAACTCCCTCGAATTCAACTACTTTATGTGCAGAGGCGGCACCGCGACGGGCCCGGCGCCTCGGGCCGCGGCCGCTGCAGCCCGCGCCTAGCTCGCGAACGCCTTGCCCGCGTCCTCCTTGCCCCTGTACGTCCTCTTGCCGTGCGTGAACGGGATGTACCGGTACTTGATCATGTGCTGGGGACAGACAGACGCCAGGGACTTCAGAGCCCGGCCCGGCCGCCAGGCGCCTCCCCAGCGCACCGGCCCCCGCCCGCGCTCCCGCCTGGCGGCGCCCGGTGACACGGCAGCGGCCTGACAGCAGAGCACCTAGGCCCACCCCTGCCCCGCCTGCCGGCAGGGCTGCGCCCCCCACGGGGCCTCTGAAGTGGCACGAGGGGCAGCACACTGTGGGGCCTGCTCAGGTCGCCTTAGAGCGACTCACGCAAGACCTGGCACGTCCAAACTGAGGCCCACCCACGACACCCCAACGGCCCCAGCCCCGCCTGGCAGGCCCCCGGGCCTTCACCTTGATCTGCCTCTTCATGGTGATGCAGAACAGCATGATGAAGTACATGACCAGGATGGGCCAGAACACCGGCACGTTGAAAGCCTCAAAGAAGGTGCAGACCATGGCCACCAGGATGCCCTTGGTCGCCGCGTGCCTTGAGGGAGGGCAGAGGGTGCGTGAGGCCGGGCCGTGGGCCTCCCCCCGGGAGCTGCTGCCAGCTGCGTCCACTCCGGGAACATGGTTCCCAGGCTGCTACGGAACTACAGGCGCGGGGACCAAACCCCAGTCGCACCCCACAGACCAGCCAGACCGGGCCTGCGTGGGGCCTGAAGGGCCTGCCAGTCTCCCTACCGGGCACAGCCAGGCTCTAGCCTCCCTGAGCGGCCGCGTCCCCAGCATGGCTGCCCCCAAGCTGCACGGCGAAGACGTGGCCGGCCCAGCCAAGGCCCCGCGAGAGCCCCTCGGAGCAGAGGGGCCGCGCCTGGAGGGAGGCCCCCGGGACAGACCCAGACGCTCCTCGCGGCTGGCCTCGGCGTTTCGGCGCGCGCCTGCGAGGGGCGGCGGCAGGGGTCTGCGCGGGCAGGCGGGCAGGCGGGCGGGCGGGCAGGCGGCAGAGCAGGCGCGCGGAGCCGTCGGAGCCCGCCCAGCCCCTGGGAGCAGCTCACCAGAACTTAAACTCCGGCAGCCTGCGGATGAAGGGCCGGAACTCCTCGTTCTGGCGGGTGGGCAGCGAGGGGCCGTCGTCTGAAAGCAGAAGTGGAGCTGAGCGGCGGTGGGCGCCCGCCGCACCCCCAACGCTCTGCCGTGGAGGCAGGTTTGCACGGTGCGCTTCTGAGTGGGGTCACGACCCACTGATCGTGGAGACTGCGAGACACCCCCCACACCCGAGCCCAGGCGGCCCCACCCCGCCATAAGCTCACTCCCCACCCAGGCGGGAAACTGAGGCCCAAGAAAGGGGCTCTTGGCTGGTTAACCCCCAAATGCTGGAGGACCTTGCCCTTAGGATTTCAGGACCGTCCACAGAGGGCTCTGCGGGCCTCCTCCGGGGGCGGGCCCAGAGAACACCTCTGGCTCCCGGGGGGCGCACGAGCACGGACACACTGCGAGTTTAGGAAGTAGGGGGCAGAGAGCACTCTGGCCACTGCCCAGGTCCTCACTGGCTCTGCCCGAGACCATGGACGGGTCACCTGACCCTGTATGCCTCAGTTTCCCCGTCTGCAAAGCGTGGTCGGCACACATGGTGGCTCAGAGCTGGACTCGCCGCGACGGAGTCCAGCCCGAGCAGCGTGTGCCCCGCCTGGCTCGCGCACTGCCCACTCCCCTCTGTGACTCTACCTGAATCTTCCATCAGGGAAGGGTCCACCTTTGGAGACAGGAAAGCTATGAAGAGGTTCAGGTGGTAGATCCCCAAGGCATAGGTCACGATGTACCAGCCCTGGGAGAGGAGACAATCAGCCAGGCCCGGCCGCGCCCACACAGGCCACTGGCCCCGAGGGGCGCGGGGAGCGGCCTCGGAGCGTGATGCTGGTGAGGGCTGCTCCCGGCCGCCGAGGCAGTGGGAGGGAGGCCCCCAACCCAGGCGGGGCTGGTGCGGGGGGTCCCGAGGCCCGCCGCCGTCAACCCAGGCCGAGAGGCCACGCTGAGGAGCGCTGCGGGGCGCCACCCACCCCGGGGAATGGAGAACCGGAAAATCGGGAAGCAAGAACGAGGACGGGGCGTCTGGACCCGCCCCTCGCCCAGAGGGCGCAGCTGGGCCCCGCAGAGCCGCACACACCGGCCCGGCCTCCGCATCCTCAGCGCAGATGGCAGTCTCGGGGGACACCAGAACCTGAGCGGCCCCCCGCGAGCCCAGCGCGTGGCGGACGCAGACCCGGGCGGCGGCCCCGCCCCCGCCGCCCTCCCCCGAGGTTTCTGGGTCATTCTCTCCAGCAGAGAACGCACCGCATCCCAATTCCTAAAAATCCCGAACTCAGTCACGGTGAGTTTGACACCGGCCTCCGCCGTCCTGAGCAGACCGCGTCCTCACGTCCTCCCTCCCACGACCAACGCCTGGCTCTGTGGGAGCCCCAAGCGCCACTGTATCCACATCCAGGGGTGCAGCAGCGCCCCGGGAACAAGCACGTCCACCGAGACCAGCCCCCGGGCCTGCAGCCACTGGGGCAGTGTCTGCTGTCCGCGAGGACAGAGGAGGGGAGACCGGAGGGGAGACAGGACCGGGCAGCACCGGCCCAGGGGAGCCCTCCAGCCACCGCGGGCGCAGCGTCCAGCTGAGACGGCAGTCCCTCGCGGTGGTCCAAGCTCACTTTGTCCCCAGAGCCTCCCGTCGCCCCACATCCAGAGACAGGGTCAGGGGGCCGCCAGAGGGGCCGCCAGAGGGGCCACTGTCCCGAGCACACCCGAGGGCGGGGAGGTCGGAGCTACCTGGGCAGGGCCCGCGCCCGGCTGCTCAACAGCCCCACACTGCCCCACACTCATTCACTGCACGACTGGGCGGCGACTCCCGGACACCACCCCCTTCCCCTCGACGCCCCCACGCACTGTGGAGCTGGCGCGGCCGTCCCGCCCACACCTACCTGCAGCAGGTAGACCCGGATCATGTAGACGAAGCTCAGGCCCAGCGTCACCACCCACCGCACAGCCGTGTAGGGCGTGGACTTGTCCAGCCAGGACTGGTAGATCTGGGGGAGAAGCACACGTCAGGAGACCCGCAGGCCCAGGGGCGACCTGGCCAGAGGCACCGGCGCGGACGCATGCAGGTCAACGCTCACGGCCTGTGCATCAGGCCCAACCGGGCGGAGCGACGCGCCAGCCACGACCTCCGGCCCCGCCGCTGCTCCACAGTCGACTGGTGCTGGCTGGAGCAAAAGCGGGAGCCAACTGCCCACTCGGTCAGCGGCCTCCTCAGACCGCGCCCCACGCCCGGAGCAGAGTGGGCCCTACCAGGCCGCGAGGGCCAGGCGGGCAGGCCCGGAGCGCCTCACAGCTGCAGGAGAAGACCAGGCACTCGCGCCAGGGGCAGCAGCCCGGCCGGCCCTTCCACCTCTCTCTGGCCGCCGGCCCCACACGAACGTGCCCGGCTCAGGTTTCTCCTGGAATATTTACTCAGCTCGTCACCAAACACCTACCTGTCCGAGTCTCGTGAAGAACCTGTACACCACCGACGGCTTCCCGTGCACGGAGCCCCCGGCACCGTCGCCCTCCGACATCCTGTAACAGAGAGGACGGGACACGGTGCGTGAAGGCAGCCTGCGCCGCCAGGAGGCCCGGGGAGCCCGCAGCAGCCAGGTGTGGGGCTGGGGCGGACGGCACGTGACTGGCAGCAGCGAGCAGGTGACTTTCACTTCTGCTGATGCCGAGGCGAGGCCCTGGGCAGGTTCTGCGCTGGCGCCTCCCGGGCCGGCCTCCCCGCCCGCCCACACTTCCTCCTGGCCCTCCTCGGGGCGCCCTGCAGGCCTCTCCTGCACGCCAGCCCAGGCTGCTCCCGGGCACCAGCGCCCCGCGCGGGCCTCAGGCCTCCTGGGCACCCGCAGAAGCCTGTCCCGGCCACGAGGGCGGGGCGAGCGGGCGCAGTGCCTTATCTGCACGCGGGTAATGCCACCTGCCTGCCCAATGCCCACCTGCAGCTCCAGGAGGAACAAACCCGTGAGACCAGGAACCTGTGAGCGGGCAGCGTTACCCACCCCGTGGAGCAGCAGCCAGTCCCGAGCAGTTTAAGCTGCTGCCCAAGGTCGCGAGCAGCCGGGAGGCCGGTGACAGCGCCGACAGCGCTGACAAGGCCGAGGCGCCCAGGCCAAGGGTCAGGCTCCAGGCGGCCCCAGCCCGGGCAGCGCGTTCCCAGAGCCGTCTGCACCAGCGGACCTTGGCTCTGATCTCGTGGCCAAGGTCTCTGACCCTGTGGCCGCAGGGCCCGGTTCCTCGTCTGCGAAACAGCGCTCGCTGCCGTCCCAGGAGCTCGGGCCCTGCCAACACCTCTGGGCTGTGCACAACGTCTCAGGCAGAAAACCAAGGCCAAGGGGAGCAGGTCCCGGCCCACCAGCCGGCCACACCCTCCCTGCCCGCACCCTCTGCCCCGCCTCCCGAGCACTCTGGCGCCCGGACTGGGCCGGCAGGCGGGAGGCAGGCCCCAGGGCCTGGAGGGGAAAGTGTCCAGACCGCATCGCAGTGCTGGGATGGGCCAGCAGCCTCCGCGAGGTGTGCGGTGCAGAGCGCCAGGAGGCACGGGAGCCCCACACCTTCTGCTCCCAGGAGTGCAGCCGTGGCCCCCGGGGGTGCGTCCTTACCCCCTTGAAAGGGCTAAGTCAGAGTTCACCCGAGCCCAGCACGGCCACCTGCGCAGGCCGCAGAGGCTCCGTCGGTTGCAGCTCCTCCTCTCCCTTTACCACCAGACCAGTCACCTGCAGGCAGGCGAGGGGACACCAGGGAGCCCCTCTTCCGCCCTGCAGTAGCCAAGTGACCGCTGACACCCCCTATGGCAACTAAGCACATGGAGACCCGCCTGTGATGGGCTCGCCAGCGACCCTGGACCACCAGACCGAGGCACCCTCCAGGCCAGGGGACGTGGGCAGCAGGCAGAGGGCCCAGAGTCTGGTCCGGGACACACCCGTGCGCGCGCCTGCAGCCCCCGGCCCCGGCCCTGTGAGGGCAGTTTGCGGGAGCTGGGTGGGCCCACGGCGCCCTCAAACATGGGGCCCTTCCTGGGTCAACGGGCACCCGCCTCTGAGCGCAATCCTCTCAGAGAGGCCCTGCCTGACGGCCCAGCTGACCACCCCCAAGACAGCCGTGTCCGCCGGCCTCATCTCGCCGCCAACCACGGCCGACTCCTCCGGCCTCGCTAGGCCCCAGAACACGAGCTCCTCGAGGGGAGCCCGGTCGGCTGCCCTGCGGGACCTGCCGCCGAGCAGGGCCTGTCCCAGGGCGGCCGCCGGCACGTCGCCTGCTGGACGGTCCTCTGCGCTCGGCCCCAAGGAAACGGCCAAAGCGAGACCAGCCAGCGCGCCCGCGGCCCCCGCGAGTCCCGGCGCCCCTCCCGCCCCGCGGCCCCCGGCGGCGCCCCGCCGGGCCCGAGGCCGGCCCGACTGGGCAGCGAGCGCCGGGGGCCGGAGAGGCGCCCGCGCGGACACGGGGCCGCGGCCCGAGGACGCGCGAGGCCCGGCCCGCGAGCCGCGACACGGAAGGCCCCGGCCCGGCCCCGCGCGCGGCGAGCGGACGTGTCCACCCCGGGGGGCGGCGGCCCGGCCCCGCCCGCCCCGCCCGCCCCGCCCGCGTACCTGGTGGCTCCGCGGCGGCCGAGCGCGTCTCCCGAGGCCGCGGGAAGGGGGGCGCGGACAGGCGGCCGCGCCGGGCTCCGCGGGTCCGGGCAGCAGCGGCGAGCACTTCCGCTCCGTCCTGCGCGGCGCCGCCTCCGGCCTCAAGATGGCCGCCGGGGCGGGGCGCGGCCTCCAACCATTTCCGCTTCCGGGCGGGCGCCCAGGCCGTTGGCTGGGCCGTCCTGCCGGCGGAAGGGACGCGGCGGCGGAAACGTGTAGCGTCGCGCAGGCGCAGTTGCGTCCCTGGCGCCGGGCCTGCGCGGCTCCGCGCCAGAAATTGTGAACGCCCGGAACTAGGCCCGTGGCCACGCCCCCTAAACCCAGGAGCCAATGGAGGAGCGCTGGCTGGTTGCTAAGGAAACCCGCAGCGGCAAGATGGCCGCCTCCGGCGAGGGGTGCCCGAGCCCCCGCCTGCCGCGCCGGGACCCGCCCGCCCGGCCGCCGCGGGACGGTAACGACGCGCGCCGGCCCCGGGGAGGCGGCCGTCCCGCGTCCGGCCTCCGTCGGGGCCCCGCCTGCCCCGCCGCGCATTTCCGCCCGCAGGGCTCGTTCCCCGGACCCCCGGCCTGCACCCCAGGAGCGCTCGGGGCCGCGACCGCGACGCCTCGGCCGTGCGGGGCGCAGAGACCGCGCGGAGGGAGCCCGCGCCGGCCGGCGTCAGGCGGCCCGAGAGGGGTTGAGGGGAGCGGTCCCCAAGTGAGAGGACGGGGCCGAGATGAGCCCGAGCCCGCGCCCGCTGCTCCCCGAGTTGTGCCTCCGGAGCGGGGTGGGGAGGGGCAGGGTGCTGCGGCCGCCGCGGTCACCCGGGTCCCCGTGGGACAGGAGGCCCCCGAAGGCGCAGGACAGGGTGGCCGCTGTCCCATGCCTGGCTAGTGGGGTTCAGCTCACATGTACGGGGCCCTCCACCCCCTGCACCCCCGGGGCCCCAGCCTGCCCGGCCTGTGCCCGCACCCCGCGCCCGCACGACGCCATGTGGGTGGCCAGCGGAGACAGTGAGCAGCAGCGGGGCCTGAGCTGGCTTCTGGGCGCAGCGTCCAGCACCCAGCGCTGGCTGCCTGGCCCACCTGCCCCCACGCCGTCACCCTCCTGGCTCCTGGGGCCCACGCCCACCTGTCTCCACCTGTGTCTCCTCAGGCTACGGCGCCTACACCTACCGCAACGCCTTCTTCCGCTACGAAGGGGAGTGGAAGGAAGGGAAGAAGCACGGTGAGAGGCGCCTGGGGCTCCCCCATCCCGGCCACCTCTGCCCGCGGACGCCCCTCGCTGGTGCTCTGACGCCAGAGGGACGCCTGCAAAGGAGGGGCGGCGGGGGGCAGCGTGTGGCGCCCGCCGCTCCACGGGGGGGCGACGGTGGCCGAGTGCCCTGGCCAGGCCGGTACCGCCGTCAGAGCCGGAGCACCTGGCCCTGCGCGTTGCTGCCGGTGTCTGCTCCAGCGCAGCCGTCTTTCTCTGCACAACACAAAGGCAGAAGCGGACAGAGACCACCTCTGCTCCAGCGTCGCGGCCACCCGGCGAGCGGCCGGCCGGCCCACAGAGCCCCGCTCCTGCTGGCTGCCCTGCCCGCCGGCCGCTCGGCCGCTGTCCATGGACGCCGCCTCTGGGCGGTTCCTCCCATGAGCCCCCGCTGTGTCCGGCCCCCACTGTGTCCGCCCCTGCTGACCGGGGCTGTGGTTGCCCAGCGGGCAGGGCTCCCCTGTGGGAGATGTGTTCTTCAGGGTCTCCCCACCCCCGTCCTGTGCTGACAGAGGCGAGGCGTCCCCTTCAAACAGCTTGGGCACTGGGCCTCCTGCACCTCAGGACTGGAACCCCCCACACCAAGGCACAGCCCTGTGTCCCCCTCTGCATGCGCTCCAGGGCCTCTGGGCTCCTCTGCCCGGGAAGCGGCTGCCCGGTGGGCTGGGCCGATCCCCACGTCGCCATCTGCTTACCAGGTCGTGGGAAGCTGCTGTTCAAAGATGGAGGCTACTACGAGGGCGAGTTCCTGCGCGGGGAGATCACAGGAGAGGGCCGCCGGCACTGGGCCGCCTCAGGTTCGCCAGGCTGCGCCCCCCAGCCTGCCCCGCCTCCTGGGAGTGAAGATGCTCTAGCCAGAGTCACGCTGTCCCCCCTGAAGATATCGCAGCCCAGCTGCCCCGGGGCCCAGGCCGGCCAGCGGGGCTGTCCTCAGGGGCCGGCCCTCGGGGGAGGCTCACCCCATGGATCCCAGCCTGTGGGGCAGAGCCACAGAGAGGCCCGGTGAAGAGGGCCGGGGACGACCAGCCCGCGGGACCCGGGGCCAGCGCTCACCCTCACATCCCCCCAGGGGACACCTACTCTGGCCAGTTCGTGTTGGGAGAGCCACAAGGACGCGGCGTCGTGACGTACGGCGCCGGGGGCCGCTACGAGGGCGAACTCTCCCACGGCATCCGGGAAGGTTTGCCTCGCGAGCCTGCACCGCACCGGGGGGCTTGGGGGGCCCCAGGGCTGGCTCTGGCGCCTGCACTGACACGAGGGCCTGAGCCGAGCTGGGGTCCCGGAGCCCTGCCCCGGCCGGGCAGGCCAGGAGGGAGGCCTCTGCCCCAGCAGGCTGCACGGCCCCTCCCAGGGCTGGCGACAGTGCACGTGGACGCGCTGGCTCGGGGGTCAGGTGTGGCCGCCCCCGCCAGGGCGGTGATCCCCAGGCCCCACCGGTGCCCCTCCCAGAGACCCAGAAGCCCCGGTCCTTGGTGGCCCCGCCAGGCCCCCACTCCACACTCCCGGGAGGGCGGTGGCACCGCGGCCTTCGTCCAGAGGCCGGAGCGCAGCAAGGTGCGGCGGTGGCCTCCCTGCCGGCCGTGAGCAGCTCCCAGGGCCCCTGCCCAGCCTGGCCGGTGCGGCCCCAGCCCCACCCGCGGGCCCTGTGACACGGCTCTGGCACCTGCAGGACAGGGCTGCCTGGTGGACCCGGCTGGACAGGTGTACCGGGGCTCCTTCCACAACAACCGGCGGCACGGCCACGGGAGCATGGCCTTCCGGTGAGGGGCCGCCCGGCGCCGGCGCTGGGCAGCTGGTTTGGGGCCAGGGCTGTAATGGTCCCCTAGCAAGTGAATTGGGGCCTAGGAAACCCCTCGTTCCCCGCCCCCCAATAAGATACCTGGTGCGTGGCAGCCAGCGGGGGGTGGGGGGTGCTGCCCTGGCCTGGCCGCCCCTGCCTGGCACCCGCCCTGCCCCTGCCGCGGGCCCTGCTGGCTGGGTCTGGAGGCAGGAGGCCCACACCGGCTGCCACACGCCCGCGGGCCGGGCCATCTGCCACCCATTTTGGCCTCTGCGGGTCCGAGGGTGGGGCTGCGCCACCGCCACCTGGCCCCTGACGGCCGCCTTCGTCCCCAGGAACGGCGACGCCTTCGCCGGCGAGTGGGTCCGGGACCAGCGTCAGGGCCACGGGGTGCTGTCCTGCGCGGACGGCTCCACCTACGAGGTACGGCCCAGGCCACGCTGTCGGGTCCAGCCCGCCAGGTCCTGCGCACTCTCCAGAGCTGCCCGAGGGCGGCCCCCTGCAGACGCGGCTCCCGCTCACGGGGAGGAAGTGCCGCTCCCCCCACGCCCCCTCCCCAGGCCAGGACACTGAGGGGCCCCCAGGCCTCCCGCTGCGGGTCCTGCCGGCCCTGGCCCCTGCGTCCGCCAGGGGGCGCCCCAGCCCCACCAGCAGGGCTGTCCGGAGCTGCTGCCGCCTCCGGGCCGGACCCGGGAGACACCCTGGGCCCCTCGCAGCAGGCGGCCTCGGCCAGGCCAGCGGTGCACTCGCGTCTGGGGTGGGAGCCGTCCTGTGGGGCCGGGACCCTCACTGCGCCCGGCCGGCCTCCCGGGCGGGGCCCCTCCCTGGCCCTCCTTTCAAGACCTTCTGCTGCGGCAAATACGCACACAAGCCTCCCGGCCTGGCCGTCCCTCGGGCCCTTTCGGGTCCTCGGTCCACTCACCTGCTGTGACCCCCACCCGTCCCCGGAACCTTCTTCCCCAGCTGAAACTGCCCGTGGAGCCCGCCCTCCCGCCCCGCCTTCCTGTCCTGCTGGAGATGGCCCCAGGGGCCTCGTTGGCGAGCGTCAGGCTGGGGGCACCCTAGCCTGGCAGGTCCAGTGGCCGCCCTCGGGCTCCTTGGGGGACGTCATGTCCATGTGCCGCTCGCCTCTGGTGACCGGGTGGCTCCAGCTTTGGACACGGAGCGCAGCCCCTGCTTGTCCTTGGGCCCGTGGACGTGGGACCCGTGGGACCCTGTGTGGGGTGAGGGCCCCGTCCTGCCTCCCTCCCTGCCAGGGCTCGGCCTGCTCCTGGCCCGCGGTCTGCTGCTCCGTGAAGCACCGTCCTCGAGGGCATGCGCACCCTCCTGCCACCCGAGGCCCCTGCGCCCGGCCCCCAGGGCTCGCAACCGCCTTGAGCCTGGCCACGGCCTTCTGCGACCCCCGAGCGCCCACTCAGCCTCCGGCCCCTATTCCCTGAGGAGGGGGCGTCTGGGCGTGGCCTGCACTGAGCTCGGGGCCTGCGGACCCGACCCGGCCCCGGCAGAGCACCCTCGGGGAGCCGTGCGCTTCCACACCCAGCAGACAGGATGTGGCCGGGGTGCTGGCGGGTGGTGGTCCAGGGAGCGGTGGGGGGCACAGTCTGGGGTGATGCGGTTGGGGGTGCAGAGGGGATGCAGTCTGGGGAACATGGTCTGGGGGTGCAGACGGGACACAGTCTGGGGTGAAGGAGCTGCCCCGGCCCCTCCCGCTGGGCGCAAGGCCCCACAGCACCACCCGTGGCTGTGCGGGCCTTGGGTGCCCCGCTTGGCTCTCGGGTGGGGGCTGCTGTTGGTGCCTGCGTCCACAGGGGTGCCGGCCCTTGTGCCCCTCGCCTGCCAACCTGGCCGCCCTCGCCTTCCCGAGTGTCTGCAGGATGGCCGTCCTGCCCCGCGCCAGGGAGGAGCCCGCGGCCTTGCCGACCCTCGCCTGGCGGGAGGGCTCACGGCCACACGTGCTCTGCCCGGCCCTGACGGCTTCCACGAGCACGGTCCTGCCCTGCACGCTGCTCTTGGCCCTGCCGAGCGCTCGGGAGGGCAGGCTGGGCCGGGAGGGGCAGCTGCCGGGGGGCTCCCCAGCCCGCTGAGAGGGACACCCCGGAGTTGGTTTTGTCTGCGCCCTTGTCCCCAGACTCCCGCCTGCGAAGGGGCTGAGGGGGCGCCTGCTGTGAAGCAGACTGGCCGCAGCCCAGCAAAGCCGGCTCTCCCCGCGGGGCAGCCTGGGCACCCCAGCCCGCTGCAGCCAGGGGCTCCCAGAGGTGCGCTGACCGCACGCTCTCTGCAGGGACAGTGGCACAGCGACGTCTTCAGCGGGCAGGGCCGCCTGGCCCACTGCTCCGGGGCCACCTACCACGGCCTGTGGATCAACGGGCACCCGGCGGGTAGGTGTCCCCGGCGGCTTGGGAGGGCCTCCCGGGGCTGCCCCGCGGGCCCGGCGGTGCAGAGGTGGGGACCCGGCGGCTGGGGCAGGGCGAGGTGGGCCTGAAACCGCCCCTTCGAGAAGAAGCGCTGTCCATGCCGAGTCCGAAGGGCCCAAGTGGCCCAGCTGTGCCCAGGACACCCCAGCCCCGGTTTCCCCACCTGGGGGCGCCCCTAGCAGGCTGAGCAGGCTGGTGTCGGCCCCGGTGGCATCTGCCCAGCAGGCCTCTCACTCTGCTCTTGGAGTGTCCACAGGGGCCCGGGGCCTTCGGGAGTATCGCCTGGGGCGCCACCCCTGGGCATCAGGGCGATCTCCCCACTCTCCAGACAAGGGTGCCCCCGGGGTCAGTCTGATGGGGACAGGGTCCCTTGCCAACCTCTTCAAGGGGCACAGGCCGCAGCACTGTGGGCACCTGCTCAGGGGGGCTGGCCCTGGTGCGGAGGGGTGGGGGGATCCTGGTCAGGAGCTGAGCCCGGTGCCCCTTCCTCAGGGGAGTCCCTCAGGGTCTCCAGGGCCCTTCCAGCCCCCCAGCCGGGCCGGGGCTGAGGTCACACAGAACAGCTCAGTGACTGCACCAAGGCGCCCGGCCCAGGCCCAAAGCGGGTCCGGATCCCTGGGTGCGGACAGGCTGGCAGGTGCCCTGGCTCCCACAGCTTTCTCAAGCTGCCCCCTGAGGGGTGCTGGGCAGCCCCCCAGAGCAGATTGAGCTGCTCCAGTGCACAAAGGCACCGGCCCGGGGGCCCAGCTGGGTCCACCCCAGCAGTGCCGCCTGCCAGTGAGGCTGGGGGCTGGCCCTGCCGGGAGGTCAGTCCAGGGGCCGCCACGTCCAGCCCACACGACACTGAGTCAGAAGCAGGAGTGTGGGGCCGCATGGGGCTGGCCGTTGTGTGGCTGCGGTGCCGGGGGTGGGCACTGGGTCTGGACGGCTACTCCTCGAGCCTTCTCCTGCCCGACCTGAACGCCTCAGCCCGCGTGGGGGGCAAGGGGGATGGGCAGGGGGTGAACAGGGGCACAGGGATACGGGCGGGAGTGGGGGGGCACGGAGGAGGGCCCTAATCCGGCCAGGGTGTGGCCCCTAAGGCCCTGCTCTGACTCCCCCAGCACAGGCCACGAGGATCTCGATTTTGGGTCCCGAGGTGATGGATGTGGCCGCAGGGTCCCCGTTCACGGTGCGCGTCCAGTTGCAGCAGGATGATGGGGCGGTGGCCGAGGGTAAGTGTCCAGGCAGGACATTGGTGTGGGCATCTCCGGAGGGCCCGCAGCCCAGGCGCCTGCGCAGACCGCGTCGGGCTGTGCCTGCCGCAGCGGGGAGGGGGCGGCCCTGCGGGTCCACCTGCGGGCACCTGGCGCGGGCACCATGTGGGGCCCGCGCTGAGAGGGCCGCAGCCGGCACCCTCCTAGGCAGAGGACAAGGCTCGGTCAGCGGGCTGTGTCCCGCTGTGTCCCACCTCCGCGTGGCAGAGGAGGGCATGGCCGGCGTGGGCGCTGGAGTGATGCCCGAGTCCCGCCCCAGCAGCGCGCAGGCCTGGCGCAGGCGGGAGCCAACCCCGCCCCCTTGCGGGCACCTGTGCAGGGTACGCGGCGTGTCCCCACTTTCTGGCACGGCCAGCCGCCCCGGCCCGCCCACAGTGGCGCTGGAGCCCGCTTGCCCCGCCGGCCAGCAAGCAAGGCCGCGGCTGCGGTGAGGGCCTCCGAGCGGAGCCCCCGCGGGAGCTGGGTCACGTCTCAGCTTCCAGGGAGACCGCCAAGCACCTCGCGAAGCGACAGCCACGCCCCGGCCCCGCGGCCACCCCACAGCCACCCCCACCGCCAGCTCGCACCCCAGGGAAGCGCGTGGCCCCTTCCCCTTGTCCCCCCCGTGAGCTGAGAGCTCTCGGGCACTGCCCACTGCTTCCCGCCACCCCCTGGGCTCCCCCAACCCCGCGTGGCCGCTGTGCCTGGAGGCTCGAGGCTCCCTCTCGCCAGGTGCAGGGCCTCCCCTGAGCCCCAGCCGTGGGTCTCCGGGGTCCTCCCGTGCCTGCCCCCAGCCACGCTCGGCTCTCCCCGAGCAGGCCCTGCGTCCTTCCCGCGCTGGCCAGCCGCTGGCGCTTCACTGGCTCTCGCTCCGACCCACAGCCGCCTCGCCACGGCGTGTTAAGGGCCGTTTGCTCATTTGGTCTTTCTCGTTTCGGATGGAACCGTTTGGCCTCGTTTCAGCAACTGTGAGGCCACAGCTGCCGTCTGCAGTGACCTTCCATCCTTGACCTTTGACCCGGCGGCCCGGCGTGTCAGCCCTGCCGGTGTCCTGAGGATTCCATAGGATCGGGCTCGAGGGCTGGCGGCTTCCGGCTTCCTGCCCCGGGCCGCCCGCCCGCCCCGCGCCTCCCCTGCGCCCTGCTGTGCCGGCGCCCGGCTCTCCTGGGCTGCCTCACCCCCTCCCCTGGGCCTGCCCGTCTGCCATCCTCTGCGCTCGCCCGCAGCCCCGAGACCCGCGCGGACGGCCCTGTGGGTCCAGAGGGCGGCCAGGTGGCCAGCGGGCTTATCAGGCTGGTCCCCACGGAAGGAGTCCACGTCCAGCCCCAGGCAACTGCCCAAACTTTGGTGTGTCTGTGGTGGCCGCATGGGCCTCAGTTTCCTCCTAGTCATGTCTTTGCCACGTCTGGCCTTGGGGGGTGACCCTAGCCTCAGAGGTGGGGGTCCCCCTCCTCGGTTTGTTATAGGGCAGGGAGAGGGGCGCCCCAGACCCCACAAACCTGCCTGTTTTAAACAGGTTCTGTCATCTGCCGCATCAACACAAAACAAGTGAGACTTTAATGAAAAGGAACTTTAGGGCCTCCCCGGGGGCGCAGGCGGTTGAGTGCAGCGCTGTGAAGCTGTCCGCAGCCTCTGCAGCGCCGGTTCGATTCCTGGCCGGCCAGGGAGCTACCCACAGGGCGCAGCAGACCCCCCCTGTCTCCCCGCTGCTCCCCTCAGCAGTGGGTTTCAGTGGTTCTGCCTGTTCTGCTCCCCACTCTGTCTCTGGTGGATCCTCTCACCCCCCCACCTCTGGCCTGCGCCCCAGCTCTTGTGTAAGTAAAATAAAATTAAAGAAGAAAGAAAAGAGCAAAATTAACATCAAGATAAAACCTGCCATGGTCCCCTCCCCACGGGTCTCACCCACATCTGTGTCACCCCGTCCACGACCCAAAGGCAGGCGCAGTGTCTCCCCGTGTCTCTCCGCTCCACGCGCCTCCCCCAGGGCGCCTTCTGGCTCCTTCCTGCTCCCTCCTCAGTCTCCTCTGCAGCCTCTTCCCTCCCTGCCCAGTTCCACCCTCCCTTGGGTGGGGCAGGGAACCTGGCACCTCCCCCTCTCCTGGGGACCCCCTGTTACAGGTTTCCTGGGAGACAGCAGGGGCGGGGGCCTTCCTAACCTCCAAGTCCCGGCCTCTGTAGATGGCGGCGGCCCAGGCGCCCCGTCTCGGCCTGGCGGGCAGCTGGAGCCCCGGGACTGCTTGCCCCCGTCTCAGCTCCGGACCCTCTTGTCCTGACATCGCCCCGGAGCGCGGGGCCGCCCCTCGGGGCCCGCGCTGGCGGACGGGGTCTTCTCCGCTTTCCTCCTGACCAGTCTGGCCGGGGGTGATCGATGTCATTGGTAACCATCGGCTCTGTCTCTCTGACGTCTCCGTGTTCCCGTTCACGGGTTCCGACGTGGTTCTTATTGTGTCCTTGCTTCTTACTTTGGAGTCATTTTCTATCCATTTTCTAATTTCTTTTCTTTTCTCTTTGTGTAGAAAAATTGGGGTGCGGGCCCCAGCTGCGGGGGTGAGAGGACGCGCCAGAGACAGAGCGGGGAGCAGAACAGGCGGATCCGCTGAGATCCACGGCCAGGGGAGCAGCGGGCGGCAGGAGGGGTCTGCTCGCCACGCGGGCGGCTCCCGGCCGGGGGCGGACTCGCGCCGCAGAGGCCGCGGACAGCTTCCCGGGGCTGAGCTTAACCCCTTGCGCCCGCGGGGAGGCCCTCGCCTGGGTCTCCACGTCTGGAAGGTGGACTTCGTTCTCCTTCCTGCTGTGTCTCTAGCAGCTTGTGAGCTTGGCCCCAGCTCCCGGGACAGCCTCGCCCACACGGGCGTCCGCGGGCCTCGCGGCTCCTGCCGGGCGCGGCCCCTGCTCCGCTCACACGTGGGGATGGGTCTCCGGGCCGTGCCGGGCCCAGGCCGCCTCCCACACACAGCAGACTCGCGCTCGAGTGTGGTTCCGGGCCAATGTGTCGCCAGCGGGGACACAGCGGCGGGAGGTGTCGGGCATCGGGGTGGCTCAGCCAGGCCAGGACAGAGTGAGAGCCCGGCTGGCCGGTGCCCGGGAGCCGCCTGCTGGGCTGCAGACCTGCACCCCAGGGTCCTGAGCCTGAGGGCTCGCGTGTGTCTTCCCCAGGCGAGAGCGGGCGTGTCCTGCAGATCTCGGCGGGCGTGAGGCGCGTGCAGCTCCGGGACCACTCGGAGGTCAGCTTCTTCAGAGTGGACGGGGACCGCCGGGAGCCGGCCCTGCAGACACCATTGTGAGTGGTGGGCGCTGGCCCCCCGCAGGGCGACCCTCGTGCGGGGCCACCGGGCAGCGGGGGGTCTGGAGTGAGCCCTCTCCCCCCCCCGCCCCGGCTCCGTGGTGTCCTCCGGAGCCCGGGCGCCTGGTGACCGCGTGCCCCCTCTTGGCAGTGGGTTTGAGTGCATCGCCTACCCCCTGTTGAACCCCAAGTCTGAGGGGCCGGAAGAGCCCACTCGCCTCCCAAGAACATCCCGGAGATGGGCCCTTCGTGTGGCCATGGGCCCCCCTCCGGCAGCCTGCCTGGTGAGTGGGGGTGGCGGCAGAGCCGCTGTGCGGGGTGCCCCATGGCCAGGGGGCAGGCCAAGGCACCACCGGGAATGCAGGTCGTGGGCACCTCCTGGCCGGGGGGCTCGGCTGTGCTGGGTCTGCTGGGGCAGGCTCAGCCCACAGGCGGCAAAGCTCCTGGAGCGACTGTCTCCGGCAGCAGGGGCCCCGCCTCCACGCCTGGGCCTGGGGCGCGGGGTCCTCGCTGCCCACCACTCCCTGCCCAATGGGCACCCCACTGTGCTCGGCCCTCAGGCCTCCAGGGAGAGTGGCCGCAGCCTGCAGACACAGCCATGCACACGGCCACTCCCACACGGAACAGCGTGGGGGGCAGGTGGGGGGCCTGGGCCCGGGTCACCTCAGTTCCAGGCGCCATTTCATTCTGCACCAGCCCAGCAGCCCCGGGTCTCACCCCAGGACGCTCAGGTCTCTGCCCACCCTGGCCCTCGGAGGCCTCAGGCCGCTCACCTCTGGCCATGAGGGTCACACCAGCACCGCCCCGCCACCCCCGCCCCTCACGGAGCGGACGCCTGGGGCGAGTGCCTCCCTCCTGGGGAGATGCCAGGAGCAGCACCCCCGGGACTCGCAGGCCTGGCCTGGCGCTGTGCAGGCAGCATGGGTGGCTCTGCCAGCGGGCGGAGGAGGGGCCCCTCCACACCACCGCCTCAGGCCACGCCCCGGCTGCAGGGCCTGCTGGGCCCGCCAGACTGCGGGGCCCTCCTGTGTGAGCACCCCCTCGCCTCCTTCCAGAGAGCAGGCCCATCTCCATCTCACCCTCCAGGCTTGGGGCCAGGGAGGGAGACTGGGGTGAAGCTGCTGGTCCTGTTAGGCAGGGAGTGCGGCTGGCAGGGGTCTCCAGCCCTCCGGCACCCGGAGCTGCAGGCCCAGGGGTGGGAGCTGACACAGGGCTCTCCCCAGCGCACGGGGTGCCTCTGGCTGAGCAGCACAGGACACCGGCCGGTCCCTGTGGAGGTGGGCGCTCGGGGCAGGTGCCCAACGCGCGGGCGCTGGTGGCCGCCGGCTCAGCTCCAAGCCACGGAGCTCTCGGGCGCGGCGGGGGCACGTGGCCCCGGGTGCCCTTCCAGCCCGGTCCCGCACCCGCAGCGCCCCTGGTTCTGATCTCAGGCTCTCAGCGCCCAGTGCCCAGCTGCCCCGCTGCGGCAGGCAGGAGACCACCTGCCCCGGACGGCCTGAAGGCGCAGGACCCCCAAAGCACAGCCGACCTCCTGTCTTACATTTGAAAGCAATTATCCCTGTTCCGGCGTGTTCTGGACATGCGTGGGGGGGCGTCCCCAACCACAGGGCTGCCGGGTGCAGGCGCCCCTCCCCCGCACGCAGACCCCAGTGAGCGCAGGTCGGAGCCTGGACGCCTGACTGCTCCCCGGGCACACGGGCCCCGCGCGCCCCTCCAGGGCTCCCCGGGACTCAGCCTGCACCAGGCCCACGCCCTCCTCCACCCACACCCCAAAGTTGGCTCCCACCTGCAGAGGGCCAAGGGCAGGGGCTCTGGCGGGGGCAGCGTCCACAGGACCGCACCTGGCCGCGTGGGACGCGAGCGCCTCTCCCCAGCGCCTCTCCCCGAGCTCCTCAGCTCTCCAAGCACTTGCGCCGCGGGGAAGAAGGTCCTAGGGGCGCCGCTGGGCAGTCTAGGCCGATTCTGGTGAAACCACACCCCAGGTTTCAGCCGCGAAGCACATCGATTTTATATTCGAGGCCTTTAGTGTTTCCCCCTTAGCCTCTGCGCCCCGCCGCAGCGCTCAGGCCTCTGGGACCCGCCCGGCCCCCACCCCGGCCGCTGACGGAGGCCTGGTGGCTGCTGGGCACCGCTGCTGGCTGGGCAGCAGGCACACCGCCCGAAGTGGACGCAGCCACCGCACACAAGCCTCCTGGGCCCTTCCGGAGGGCCGCGCGCGCGGCCTGCCGCTTGGGGAGCGAAGGGCCTTGCGCACCACGGCGGGGCCTGCGGAGCCTGCCGGGGCCTGCGACTGACCCGCGGCGCCAGCGAACGTGCGGGACTCTGGGGCCTCCACGGCCCCCACGTCCTGGAGGGAGGCGAGGGCGTGCCCAGGGGTGGGGCCTTGTCTGAGGGGACCAGCGGGGTCACCGCCCGCATCTGGGGGGGAGCAGGGAGAGCTCTGTGGGGCAGAAAGGGCAGCAGTGTGGGGGAGGCACAGCTGACCTTGGAGGGGCCCCGGAGAGGGGTCGAGGAGGCGGTGCTGCCCGCAGGCCCCTGGGAGGCAGGCGCTCACCAGGGCACTCAGGGGCTCCCGTGGGCGCCTCCAGGCCTGGGCCAGTTCCGTAGCTGGCACCAGGGCGTGCGGAGGAGAGTCCCTGCGGCGGCACTGGATGTGCATGTGCACATGCGTGTGTCAACTGCACGTGTGGGTGGGACATTGTGAGCATGTGTGTGTGCAGGCTGGTGTGTGTGCAGGCTGGTGTGTGCAGGCTGGTGTGTGTGCGTGTGTGCAGGCTGGTGCGTGCACACTGGTGTGTGGGTGTGTGCAGGCTGGTGTGTGCAGGTTGGTGTGTGTGTGTGCAGGCTGGTGTGTGCACACTGGTGTGCACGAGTGCAGGCTGCACGTGCAGACAAGAGTCAGGATTCTGGGCAGAGGACGGAGCCTCAGTCTAGATGCCCCCTCACCCGTTCCTGCCGGCACCCCCTCTGGGCCACCCAAGACTCCAGCAGCAGAGGGCTCAGCAGGGGGTGAGACTGGACGGAGGGCAGCAGGTGGACACGAGGCCTCACCCAGTGTGCCGGGCAGCTGGATACAGGCTGGGGGGCCCGCTGCCCGGTCATGGGGCCCCGGGCCGTGGGCTCACTGCCTAGAGGCGCTGCCGGGGCGCTGCGCCCCTCCCCTCCGATGTCTTGGCTAATTGATTCTGGCCCTAAAGACTAACGCCGCGTGTCTGGTCACCTCCAGACGACACAGCTGTCCCCTTGGGGCCATTCCACGCCACTCTTTCCCTCCCCCAGTGAAGAGCGCGCTTGCCTGTGGCTGCCCTCCCCGCGGCGCCGGCCGCTCGCTCCCCCGCGTCCTACACAGGTGACTGGGGAGGCTAATGGAGCCGCCAGAACGTGACTAACGGGCGCTCCCCGAGGAGGGCGGGCTGCCGCGGCCCCTCCTGGGATGGCGCGGTGACCTTTACCAGGCGGATAGAGCGGTCACCGTGGTCATTAAAATCGACAGAGAGGCCCCAGAGGTGAGTCCCAGCTGGCAGACGCCCCGTCGTCCGGCTGTGCGGCCTGGGGCTCGGCGCTGCGGAGGCGAGGGCTCCCGGCCCAGATCTGGGGAGCTGCGTCCCCCAGGTGCCCCACTGCAGTGGAGGGGGGCCCCGGCGGGGCAGGAGAGCCCCAACGAGTGGCGACTCCCTGGACGTCCCTCAGCAGAAACCAGGTCGTGGTTCTGCCGGGGCCGGAGCTGCCTTTCTGCTCAGCCGTCGGGCCTCACGGAGCGCGGCTCAGCGCCGGAGCAGGGCAGGGGGGCGCCTCCGAAGGGCGTCGAGGGCAGGCGCGGGGCAGGGGCAAGGCTGGGGGGCGGCGTCTGGCAGGAGTGGGGCTCATCTGGGAAAGTGGGGCGGAAGAGCCCGGCTGGGCACAGGGCAGAGGCGGGAGGAGCAACCGGAGGCAGGGACCCGCGGGCCTGTCGGGACGCCACAGTGCAGGGCACACGCAAGCCGGGCCCAGAGCACGGGCAGCCAGGAAGGCCCGTCCACCCTGGAGGTCCCTCTGGGTGCAAGCGCACCCGAATCCAGAAGCACTGCCGGCTGTGCAGCCTCTAGCTGGGGCCCATTGCGGGGTCTCCCCCCGCAGCCTGCAGGGCGTCTGGTCCCTCTGCCTCCGCCCCTTGGGCAAAGGAGAGGGAGGTCCTGCCGGGCGGCTCCTGGCGGTCTGGAGCCCGCATCTGCCCGCGGCACGGCGAGGGCTGGCGCAGTGGTCAGCAGGCGGCCCCGCACCGCCCCCTCCGCTTCTCTCTCCGGCGCCCACGCAGCAACCCCACTCCCGGGCCACCTCGGGGCTGCGCCCCAGGGCTCCGGGCCCCAAGGCAGGGCTGCCCAGCGTCCCCCTCCTGTCACTCTCCGACAGGGGCCCCGGCTGGCTCGGTGGCCTCGCAGGGCCTTTAGGGGCCTCTGTCGAGCAGACGCGCACGGACGCGCGGCCGCAGCCGGCCCGAGCCCGCAGAATGGAGACAAGGTCAGCCGGGGGCGTCGGTCACTGCGCAGGCGCGCGGGCCTCAGCCACAGGGGCCAGCGAGAGGGTGTCCTTGCGGGAGGAGCCCTCCTGTCACAGGCGCCACAGCGACAGCACCTCCGGGGGCTCCCCCACCCTGGAATCTGGGAGAGGGGTGAATGGCCGAGCCCAGGCCCCTTGGGCTCTGGAACAGGCCCCAGGGCGCCCTGCAGGCTCTGGTGGGAGGGGCCCAGCTGGGGGTGGCCCACCCCTCAGGCTTCCCCACGGTGTGCCCAGCCGCCTCGGGCGGCCCTCCTGCTGGCCGGAGCGGGCAGGGCCTGGGCAGAAGGCGGGGCCCAGCCCCAGGCCGCGCGTCCAGAGGTGTGCGTGTGTGCGTGGGCCTGGGGTGCCCGACACCCTGACAGCACCCTCCAGGCTGAGCACAGACTTCTGAGTGGATGGGGGTGTGGGCGGATGGGGGCAGGGGTCCACGTTGGGGGAGCCCAGTTCTGTCCCCACGGGCACACTGGCGTGGCCGTGCCTGCCCTCACCCCGCCGCTCTGTGGTCCACTGGCCCCGTGGGCTCTTGGGGGCCAGCACGTGGGAAGCCATCGCCTCTGCAGGCCCGGCCAGGTGGGGACCCTCCGACCCCAAGGAGCGGTCCTGCAGCCCACGTGGTGGACCCCCCGCCGGGTGCGGCGACCGCGGCATTGCCGGTCAGCACGGGACCCCCCCGCCCCACGCGCCCACCACTGTCCAGGGGAGCTGCCCCGGGCAGCAGGGCAGGAGCCGCGGCACCCCGAGCCCCCGGTCTTGCCGGGTGAGGCTCAGAGGCCGCCCTCCCTCCCTCTGCAGCCGGCGCACAGGAGGCCCGCTGGCCCGAGGCCCCGCCAGCGGGTGCAGCAGGGCCGCGCGCAGTTTGAGGACGTCCGCCTCGGGCCCCCTCCGCCCGGGCACCACGCGGTGCTGTTCCTCCCCGAGGTAGGGACGCGCGACGTCGCCCCACACCGGCCCACGGACCGCCGCCGCAGCTCTGCCCTCTCCCTCCCACCCCCCAGAAGCGCCGTGCGGGGCCCAGGGACGGCCAGGACGACGCCTCCTGCGCGGGAACCCACCCGCGGGCAGCAGGTAGGGCGGCGGCGCGCGGCGTTCGGGCCTCTCCGTGCGGCCGTGGGGCTGCCAGGGGAGTGTGGCCTGCGACGGGGAGGCCGCGCCTGCTCAGTGGGGCCGGCAGGTGTCACCCCGGCTTGTCCCACCGCTCCCTGCAGGGGACCGCAGCGGCCAGGCGGCGTGGGAACCGCCCCATGGTGGGCTCCTCTGCCTCGACGGCGGGGCCTCTTCTCGCGGGCGGCCCCACGGGAGCCGTCCGCGGGCGGCAGAGGCCACTGGCCTGAGGGCTGCACCTCCAGCCTGGCAGGTGAGGCCCCGGTGCAACGCCCAGCCCGGCGGGTGCAGCTCCCCTACGGTGGGGTGGGGGAGCCCTGGCTTGGCATCGTCTCCAGCTCATCTCACTGTCCTAGCCAGGTGGCGGGGCGTGTGGGGGAGGGTCCCCCCACATAGTAGGGGCCATCACTGGCCAACAGGCAGAAGAGGACCCACAGCCCAAGGAGCAGACCTGGAGGGCAGCCGGCCTAACTAGAGGAGTTCTAGCTAGACTTCCTGGGGGCTCCCTGAGCACGCCGCGGGCCTGGGCCTCCCAGAGTGGCCAGTGTGTCCACCTGCCCCTCTACTGGGCGAGACTGTGAGGTGCCCGAGCGTGAGCACCCGGGGTGGGGCGCAGAACCCCAGAGACGACTCCGCGGCCCCTGACCCAGCCTGAGGGCCCTGCGCTGGCGAGCGCGCCCGCGCCGCGGGGCCGGCTCGAGGCACGCCATGGCCGCGCACAGAGCAGAGGCCTGTGGGCACAGGCCCGGCAGGAGAGCGGGCGCAGCCGGGGCTGCTGCCAGCAACCTGCGGCGGTCGTGGCCGGTGCCAGGACGCCCGGGGACCGGCCGTGGGGGTGGCCGCAGCCGCTGACCCGCCGTGGCCCGCGCGCGGCCGGGCACCCCTCTCTGGCCAGGGCCTCTCCGCGGCTCCCTCGGGAGTGAAACGCGAAACCGCCTGCGCGCGGGGCAGACGCAGACCGAAGACGGTGGCAAGGCCCTGGGTGAGCCAGAGCCCCCCCTCCGCCCCCGCCGCGCGGCTCCCTGGCGTGTGCGGGCGAGGGAGCCCCCAGCCCCGGGCACCGCCCAGAGAGCGGGAGGGCCGGGCCGCTCACGTCCCGCGCCCCTTGTGCGGGGCTTCTGGTCGTTCAGAGCAGCCCTCGCGTCTGCGCTGGGGCCCGTGCAGGGGGCAGGCCGCTGGCCGCGGGCGGGCGCGGGGCGGGCAGGGAGCCCGCAGCGGAGGGGCAACCGCCCAAGGGGGCAGGCGCGCGCTCCCGGGCGGCTGGGGCAGCGGAGCTTCCGAATATGGACGCCCTGGAGGGACGCGGTCAGCCCTGCGCGGGCGAGCAGGGCGCGGGCAGGCCTGGCTGCCCTCCCGGGCACTTGCAGGCTCCGCCACGGGGACACGCCCCCTCGCAGGGCGCCACTGCCCGGAGACCCCGTCGCTGACCGGGACTCCCCAGGACGCGCAGGCAGGACCCTGAGCAAGGCCGCTGTCAGCAGGGCTTGGCGCGGACCCAGGGGCGCCCCACCACCGTCCTGCCCCCTGGGGGGCCTGCGCCAGCACCGCCCGCGGGGCACTCCCTCCTCAGCGCCTTCCTGACCAGCTCCGGAGGTCTCTGTCCTCCAGAGTCTTTGCTGCTGCGCTTGGCGGGGCCAGCACGCCCCGCCGGGCTCGGCCCCGATGTGCCCGCGCCCCCAGCGGCCTGGGCCTGTGCGGCGCCCTGCACTGACCGTGGTCCCGAGGGCGGGCGCAGGGCTGGGCACAGCGACCCGAGGGGTGGGGCTCGGGCCCGCGAGGCAGGGCGCTGGGTCAGCCCGCGGCCCAGCTGTCGGGGACCCCAGGGCTCCAGGCCGGCCCTTCTCTCCCACAGGCCTGGCCCGGCGGCACGGCGGAGCCCGCGGCAGCTGCAGGTAGCCGGGGGCCCAAGGCGGGGCGGGGCGGGGCGGGGCGGGGCAGGGCGTGCAGGGCGAGGGTGTGGGGGTGGGGAGGGTGCTGGGAGCACTGCCGGCCAAGGCCCTGCGCGGCAGGGGTGTCAGGAAGGCGGCCCGGGTGCCGGGCAGGCCCCAGTCCACCTTGGACTGGCCTGGCGGTCACTCCCAGCGGCAGCCACATACTGGCCGCCGGCGGCCCACGGGGCTGGTGCTGCCCGCAAGGTCCTGAGACCCTCGGGTGTGGGGTCCAGGGCCTGCCCTGCGCGGGCCGGGGGACCTCTGAGGACACTGACCAGCCCTGGGCCGTCCACCCCAGCTGGGCGGGCGCTGGGTGCTCTCCGCGGCCAGCACGCGCCCCCCACAGGGAGCTTTCCACGCTCGGCTCGGTGCCAGCCCTGGAGGGCAGGGCGGTCTCCGTGGCAACCTCATTTTGTTATTTCTTATTTGCTGTTTTATGGTTTCTCCAACTTTGAAACTCTCCAGACAGTCCCAGTCGCAGAGAGGAGAGCTTCTCCTCCGGCCCCGGCCCCGCCCGCAGCCGCTGGGGTGGGGCATCAGAACAAACGACCCCACACCGAGCCTTAATTATTTTTAAAAACATTTGAGAGGGAAAGAATTTTTTCTCCGAAGAGAGACGCATTTTCAAGCGTCCCTCCCGCGCTCGGCCAGGCGGCCTCAGCGGGTTCTGCCCCAGGGCTGGGGTCCTGAGGGTGGGGGGGGTTCCCCCATCCCACTTCTTGCTGGCCACGCGGGCCCTGCAGCAGGGAGGCCCGGCGCCCCGGGGCGCAGAGGAAGGTCCTGCCAGGAGGGTGGGAGGGGCACCTGGGAGGCCGGGCACGGGCTGGGGGCGCTGGCCAAGGGGGAGGGGACACGGGCGCAAGTTGGGGGCAACAGCAGGGGCTGCGGGGGGCGCAGGGGGGGCGCGGGCTGCGGGGGGGGGGCGCACCAGCCAGCCTGTCTCCCGCAGGGGAGTACGTCCTCGTGGTCCGGGAGGTCACCAGCCCGCCGTTCCTGGGCCACAGGCTGCCCGATGCCTTCAAGCGCCTTCGGTCTCCCGCCCGGGCCCGGCCAGCAGCCTCCTGTCCCGGCAGGGGGCCCCGGGGCGTCCAGCGAGGGCCAGCCGGCCCTGGGAGCCTCTGCCTCAGACACCCTGGGGGCCCGCCGGGGAGGACAGGCCTCCGTTGTCCACCAGCCTGAGCGTCGTCCCCCAGCTGCGGCTGAATAAACACACCTGGCGAGCCTGCTGGAGCCTCCGCCCGCGCACCTCAGACCCTGTCCCCAGAAGGGGGCCGAGGCCTCGCTCAGCAGGGAGCTGGGCTCACGGGGCTCGTGGGCGCCAAGGCCATCCCGCTGAGCAGGGCTGCCGGCCTACTGGCCGGGCCTCCACACCCGCCCCAAGGGGACAGACTCCCAAGGAGGAGCCCCGAGGAGGGGCGGGTGGCCAGTGCCCAGAAACGGGGACCTTCAGGTCCCGCCGGCTTCCGGCTCTTAGAGCTGCCCTGAATGGCGCCCGCAGACGCCCTGCAAGGCCAGGGGTGCCGCAGGGAGGTTCTGGGGGGTGGGAAGGGTCGAGGGAGGTGTGGACGGATGAATGAAAAGCGGCGGGGGAGGACGCTTGCCGGGGGGTGAGAGGGACCTGGAAGAAGTAACCGAAGCCTGGGCGCGCGGCGGGCAGGGGCAGTGCGGGCATGGATGGGCGGGGCGGGGCCCGCCGGCCTCGGGGCCCCCCGTCGCCGTGTTCCTGCTCGGAAGGCAGGCAGTGGCGAGGGTCCGGCCCCCACATCAGAGCGATCGGGGCGGGGCCCCCTCAGCCTGACGCCCTTCTCGCCTGCTCCGAGCTCCCGATGCGGCGGCTGAGCTGGCGAGGGCTGGCGGGGGTCGCCCTGGAGGTCGCCGTCTCCCTGCCGGGAGCCGCGGGGTGGCTGCAAGCACAGAATCTGGGAGGGCCGGGGCAGGCCGGGCGGCCGCGGCAGCCAGGCCCCCACTGTGGACCCTGGGAGGTGGGCTGTGGCTGGGTCCCCCATGGGCCACACCAGCCCAGCGGCCAGGCCCAGCAGAACCCCCAGAGGCCCGTCCTCTGCCCCCCGGGCTGGTCCTGCCCCAGGTGTGGAGGCTGCTTGGAGGGGGCAGCCACGCCCTCTGGGGGCTCGGGCCCCTGGGGTGGGCAAATGAGCAGCAGCACAAACAAGGGCAGAGGCAAAGGCACAGGCTCCTGCTCAGACCCTGGGACGGTGGGTGAGCTGAGTGCCCCCAGCGCCCTCAAGTGCCCCCTGGCACCCCAAGCGCCCCAGGCACCCCCAGCGCCCCCGAGACTGCAGGCATCGCCGGGCAGCTCTCTCAAGATAAAACCCAATGGAGGCAACGCTGGCTTCTGGCAGCACCGGGAGCAGTGGCCTGTCTTGGGGTCACCCCTCGGTACCGAGAGCCCAGGGAGGAAGGTCAGAGCCACGTCCCAGCCCCCCACGCCCAGACCGGGCACCCTTGGTGCTGGGGGGGCGGGGGTCCACTGGGAGTCCAGGGGGAGCCCCTAGGCAGACCCTCTGCAGCCCCAGATGGGGAGGCCCCCACTCCAGAGCCATCACCACCCCCATGCGGGCACCGGCCCAGGCCAGAGAGGCTCCCGTGGGGCCTCAGCCCTTTGGCCAGTGGCCGGGCTGCAGCTACCTCTGGCCGGGGACCCTGGGCCCTTCTCCGAGGGAGGCAGTTCTAGGGTCTCGTGGGTCCCCAAGCCGCCACCCCTGCTGGGGGCCCGCCCGAGGCTGCACCCAGCCCCGCACCCAACTGCAGCCAGAGCCTCCTCCCGGCCTCGGGTGCCCTCGACCCACCCGTGACCTCTGAGCAAAGGGGGCACCTGCCGCTCCAGACCCCACTTCGCTCACCAGGCCTGATGGGGCGGAGAGGTCCTCACACCTGGCAGGCCCGGTGGGCACGAGAGCCAGAGACGCACAGAGGCGGGGGAGCTGGGGAGACAAAACAAAAAGCGGAGGGAGGGACACCGAGGGCGCGGTTGGGGGCACCCGCCCGCTGCCCTGCACACAGCAGCCCTCGCAGCCTCAGCCCCTGCCGCCGGCGCGGGCAGCCGGCGGGCGGCGAGTCCAGCGTCCGAGCCCCTCCCCAGGCAGGCGTCCTGGAGCCCAGACGCTGCTGGGGTGGCCGGGGTGGTTTGGGGTGGGGGTGGGGGGGGCCCCGGACACCCCTGCTCGCAGACAAAACGCCGCCCCTGGTGGAGGGCGAGCCCCGAAGGGGCCGGCCCCGGGGACAGGCAGGGTCTCCAAGGAGCGGCGGGCGGCTGCGCTGGCCCCTTGCGGCCCGGCTCGGCCAAGCTAACCCCGGGGGCGAGGGACACCCCACCCACCCCACCTGCAGCCCCGGGCCGCCCTGCAGGGAGAGGGCGCGTGAACGGGGCCGCCCCGGCGCTCCCCCAGCCCCGAGCCGGCCCCAGCGGGGGGGGGGTGGGGGGGGCGGGGGGGGGGGGGGGGGGGGGGGGGGGCAGGCCAGGAGGACACCCGGGCACCTGGGCGGGACCTGGGTGCGCTCGCGGGGGGCTGGAGAAGCCGGGGTGGGGGGGCAGGCAGGGCCCGAGCGCCGGTCCAGGGGTGCGGGGCAGGTCGCGGCACCCGCCAAGGCAGGCACCCCCTGCAGGCAGGGTCCTGGGGGCCGAGGGTGCCCCCCGCGACGCGCCCTGCCGGCGGGGACCCGGGACAAGCCCTGGCCCCCGACCTGCGCGGGGCGGGAGAGGCCTCCGGGCCAGGGGCGGGTCCCCCACCACCCTGGCATAGAGGGAGGTCGCACCCCACAAGGTGAAGCGCCCCAGCAGGTCGGGCGGGAGCCCGGGGCGGCCCGCGGGGCCCCCCCCCCTCCCGCGCTGCAGTTCCCGCCTCCGCCGCGGGGGGCGCCCGGCGCGCCGGGCCGGGCCGCGGACACGTCAGCGGGGGGGCGGGGGGGGCTCGGGCTCCGGCCCCGCGCCCCCCGCGACGAGGACGGTCGGGCCCGGCGCCGTCGGGGTCGGGGCCGCGGCCAGAGGGCCCGAGGGAAGGCGGGCGCGGGCGGCGCCGCCGGCCGAGGCGGGGGTGGCGCGCGCGCCCCGGGGGTCGAGCCGGGCCGGCCGTCGCTGCGGCCCCGGGGGCCGGGACCCCCGCCCGCCCGCTCCCCCCGGCCCGGCGGCGCGCCGGGGCGCGGGGTGAAGGAAGTGGGGTGCTAGGCCCGGCCCAGAGGAGGGCGGGGCTGCGGGGAGCGCCGCCGCCTCCCGCGCGGCCCCGAGGCGCGAGGCGCGCCCCCCCGCCCCCGCCCCCCTCCCGCCCGCCCCCCCCCCCTCCCGCCCCCCCTCCGCCCCTCCGCCCCCCTCCCCCCCCCACCCGCCCCCCCCGCCCGCCCCCGCCCGCCCCCCTCTACCCGCCGCCCCCCCCCCACCCGGGGCGCGAGGCCCCGCCCGGAGCACCCGCGCGGCCGGTCTTGGGGAGCTGCGTGGCCTCTCCGAGCCTCCGCCCCGGCCCCCATCCTCCGTCTGGACTCTGGACCGGCTGTCCCGGGCCGAGTGGAGGCCGTGGAGGGCGGCGCAGGGATTCGGGTTTACCCCAAAGCGGCTGGGGGCGCCCCGCACCGCCTGGGCACCCCGACCCCCCGCCCCGACCCCACACCCGACCCCGACCCGCGGGGCGCGGCCTCCGGCTCCGCCGCGCTTGGGGCGGCTCTCTGCGCTGCCCGGCTGCGCCCCGTCCCCGGGCCTGGGGGCGCGCTCGCGGGCACCTGCAGGGCTGGGCAGGCCGGGCCGGGCTTGTGTCCCCGCAGCGGGGTCGCTTGCGCGCGAGCCCCTGCCCCGTGGGCGTGCGGGGAGGCCCCCCCCGGCCCAGCCGCGGCCAGGCCCTCTCCACGCCCGGCCCTGCCGGGGCTTCTTTCTTAGAAGCAGGGCGTGGGGTGCAGGCGGCGTCCTCCAGGTCAAGGAAGGCCCCGGAAGGGCAGGGCAGGTGGGGTTCTGCCCCACAGGCTCTCTGCCCTGTTCTTGCAGCGCCACGGCCAGTGCCCAGGGGTGAGGACGGCAGGAGCCCCTGGCCCTGGCCTGCTGGCTGCCTGGCCCTGCTGCCCCCCAGCTCAGGTCAGCCCATTGGCACCTGAGTGCGTCCACCCCCGCACTCACGTGGGCAGCTTCCTCCCCCAGCCCTGGCACCCACCTGGGCGGCAGCTGGCCTCCAGCCAGGGGACCCTGTCCCCAGGGGCCGGGGGCGGGGTCCTGTCAGCTCTGACAGCCCCCCAAGGCCCCACCGGAGTCCTTCCTGCTAAGCAGAGAGGGCAGGCGGGGTCTGAGGCCTGTCCTGGTGGCCCACAGTGTGCCCGTCTGGCCAGCGCCCCAGGACACGGCTGGGCGGGAGCCTGAGGTGCCCAAGTGGCCAGGGGGTTGCCCTCCCAGACCCCATGCCGCCTCTGTCCATCCAGTGGACCTGCCGGGGGCGGTCCGCCAGCCACAACGCTCCCTGCCCTCGGGGCAGGGCCTCTCCGTGGGCCTGGAGGCCGGACTGCAAGGCCTGCGCCTAGCCTGGCGCTGGTCTCAGCCAGGCCTCTTGGGGGCCACAGAGGGGCTGGGGGGCCAGGAGGAGGGGTGGGACACCCCAGCCCTCGTGTAACTTGGGTGTCCATGGCCTGACATGAACCCCCACCCAGGTCCCGCCCCCAGGGCTGCAGCAGGGGCTGGTGAGGGCCTCCCTGCCTGCCCCTGGCTCCCAGGCCAGCTGGACTGGGGCCTGGTGGGGAGAGGGCCCCGGGCCCTGACCCAGGCACTCCCTACAGGGCGCCTGTCCCAAGAGGCTTCCGGAACAGGCCTCATGGCAGCAGGAGATGGGCAGGAGGCCCCCTGCCCGGCGGGAAGGGCCGCGGGCAGCACGGGGCAGTGGCTGAGCCCAGCCGGCCGGACACCTGTCTGGTCAGGACGCTCCAGAGCCGGCCGGCGCTGGCCTCAGCTGCGGGTCCCCTCCACCCCCACCGAGGAGCCACCTGCTCCGGGCCGGGAGCCCTGGCCTCCGGGCCCCTGCCCTGGCACAGGCCTGGGCACAGATGGCCGCCCGCTCCAGGCCCGCGGGCGCACGTCACTGAGGTGGGGGCCGCAGGCAGGCAGCCAGCCTCAAAAGTTCCGTCCCCACCCCTCTGGCCTCCTGACGTGGGCAGGGCAGGCGGGGTTTCTGGGGAGGGTCCGGGAGCCCTGCGGGGCCCTGGTTTCACATCCTGCCTGGGCCTGACCAGCAGTCACCACCCTGCCCTTCCCGAGGACACAGACTCTCCTCCCCCAGGTCCCCACCTCCCTGCAGACAGTGGTCCCTAGGCCATGGAAGCGGCAGGACCCTGGCCTGACCAGCAGGGGCCACTGGCCTAGGCCTGTCACCAAATCCCACCTGGCACAGGCCTGCTGCCTGGGCCTCCCTCACCCTGGATGGCAAGGCAGGGTGACCGGTGACAAGGGGTGACCTTGGGGCGGTGCAGGTGGGGGGCGGGGGCTGCAGAGCTGGCGGGCAGGGCCCTGTCATGCTGTGTGCGGGCGGCGGGGGCTGACCTGCGGCCACCCCAGCTGCTTCTCGAAGTGCCCGGCTTCCTCTTTCCAGGAGGGCGCGCCCGGCATCTGCTCCCGAGGTCAGGGATGGCTCTCAGCCTGTGGTCACCCCCGACCACAGGGTGGTGGGTGGGGGTGGGGCTAGACTGTGGCTCGGCAAATAACAGCAGGGTGGCAGACACCCCAAGAGGAAGACCAACTGGGGGTGATTCCGGGCCTTGAGTGGCTGTGGGGAAGGGCTCTGTCTGCCCCGGGTCAGGGGTACAGAGCTCACACCCAGAACTGAACCCCAAAGTGCAGCCAAGAGCCCGTGACAGCCCCAGGGACATCCCACCTGCCCGCCCCCCAGGACTGACAAGACAGCACCGGAGCGGCGTCCAGACCTGCTGTACGAGCCGAGCGGGAGGCACAGGCTGGCCAGCAGTCACGCCGCGGCCTGACGGGCTCTGGGGTGGCCACAGCAACGTGTTCCTCTAGGCTCCCCTGAGGCCGCCCACTCGGAACACCCCGGATGGCAGGCGGGCAGCGGCTGAATGGGCGTCAGGCAGGGCCCCAACGCCAGGCAGAGGCTGCCCCTGCCAGTGCTGGGTGGGGTGCGCCCGTAGTCTGCTCCACACCCAGGGGACTCGGAGGTCGCGGGGGCCAGCCGGGGACAAGGGGCTGCGCTTTGGGCTGGCTCACATTCACGTGGTCAGCCTCCCCTCCGACTTGCCCACAAATGGCCACCCCAGGCCGTGGCCAGCGGGCAGCTGCCAGGGGATGGGCTCTGGCCCAGGTGTGCCAGGGTCCCGGTGGGTCTGGCACGGCCCCTGGGGAAGGCGGGTAGGGAGGAGCCCCGTGCCCCCCAGGGGTGTGACCCTCCTGCCCAGTGTAGGCCCTGGGCACTGGCCACCTGCCCGGGACAGATCCCCTGGCTCCAGCGACAAGGGGCGCAGCTTGGTGGCCCGAACCCTGTCCACAGGCCGCTGCCCGCAGCACCCACTTCCTCCCCGGGTCCTTCACGGCCCAGCGGCCACGGGGCGGGCAGAGGCGCAGGCACAGGTGAAACCAAGACGAGCCTTTTCCTTTTAAATCAGGCATTTATAAACAAGAAAGCATACATTAATTACATAAAAATAGTCTTCGAATAGTAGAGTGAGTCGTATCGTCGTTAGCAGCAGCGGCGGCGGGCGGCGGGTCTCCTCCTCCGGGCGGGCGGCGGCTCTGCTGGGCGCCGGCGGGCGTGCTAGCTGCTCCGGGAGATGTGTTATTGCTGTTTTCCCTTCGGCGCCAACCTCCCCGCGGCACGGATGGTGCCGAGCTGGGCCCGGCGGGACCCCCGGGCACACGGCCACCCCTCCCAGCGCGGGACTGGGCAGGCGGGGCTGCTGCTGGTGACCGCCACCCCGGGCCGCGCAGGGCGGGGGCAGGGCCTCTCCTCGGACGCGGGGCGCCCCGGACCAGGGGCGGCAGGCGCCCTCAGACCCAGCGGCCCGGAGGCTCAGGCCACGTCCCCGCCGCCGGCCCCACGGCTCCCTTGAAGAAATGACTGAGAAACACGATTCTGGAAAACGAGGAGCGCGGCCGAGCCCAAGGCGGGAACGATGCCCGGCCACGGGCCGCGGACGCCGAGCCGGCGCACACAGACCGGGTAACTGCAAAAAAAGCAAAAAACAAAAAAACAAAAAAACAAAAAAAAAAAAACAACCCCAAAGGCTGCCCACGTCGTCCCTTTTCCATTGCACTTTAAAGGGGGCTGAGCAGGCCCCAGGGCCCAGGGCGCCCCGCAGGGACCGCGGGCCTCAAGGGGGGGTCAGCCCCGGGTGGGGACGGAGGCCGCCCCCGTCTGCTGGGAGATCGGCTTTCCAGCTCGGGCTGAGGGAACCTTATACAATTTGCATAAACAGTTGCGCGTAAACGAGATTATTTGGAATAAATGCAGGTAACTTATGGTGAGAGTGGCAGACTCAGTCGCTACTGGAGACAGATTGCTCGGGGGTAGAAAGACGGGCGCGGGCTGGCTGTACAGGATGCTGGAAGGCACAGAGCTACCCCCCGAAGTTCAGTTTTGCATGTTCTCTCCTCGCGGGTCCCCCGCTCGCCAAGCACCAGAGGGGTCGAGAGCGGGAGCGCTCGGACCACCTGCTCTAAGAACCGAGTCGCAACGTCTGGAAAGTAAAAACCTCGGTTAACTGGGGAATAAAAAGGGAAGATTTTTGACAAAGTGCAGTTCTAAATATACGTTTAAATGAACAAACGAAAGAGAAAGTGAAGTAATGCTGTGGCTCCGACGGGAGCGCCGGGCGGCGCGGGGCGCGGGTCCCCGCGGGGCGGCCGGTCCTTGTCACTGAAAAAAATAGACTCTGGAGAAAAACCCCGCGGCCGCGGCGGCGGGTCCTCGCGCCCGGGCGGCCACGCGCGGCGGGGCTCGGGGTTAGTCATTAAAAAACGTGTCGATTCCGAGCTCGAGTCTCTGGTCTCGAGTAGCTTATCAGACGGGGCGGGCGGGCCGGGCGGCCTAGGGCTCCAGCTCGGCCGCGCTCTCGCCGCCCGCGGGCTCGGGCCGGGCCGCGGCCACAGCTGCTCCTGCAGCTCCTTCACCACCTTCTCCAGGTGCTCCCGGGCCTCGCGCTCCCGCAGCAGGTCGGCGCGCAGCTGCTCGCGGTCGGCCTCCGCGTGCTGCAGCTTCACCTGCAGGTCCTCGATCTGCAAGGGAGGCGGCTCAGCGCGGCCCCGCCCACCCGGACCAGGCCCCGCCCCGCCCGCCCCGCCCCAGGCCAGAGCCCCGCCCCCCGCGGCCCCGCCCCGCGCGCCCCGCCCCACCTGCGCCGAGTACTTGGCGCGCAGCCGGCCGGCCTCGCAGCCCTTGTCGCACACGCGGGCCTGGCGCGCCTGCTCCAGCTCGCGCTTGAGGCGCAGGCGGGCCTCGTTGGCCTCCTTCATCTTCTCGTTCTCGTTCGGCGCGCAGCCGCTCGATCTCCTTGCGCAGGCTGCGCTTGGCCTCCGTGGCCTCCCGCAGCTTCTCCTTCTTGGCCACGCGCAGGAACTCCAGCTCCTGGGCGCAGGGGGGTCAGCGCGCCCGCCCGCGGCCCCCCGCCCCCCCCCCCCGCCCCGCGGCCCCCGGCCCCCCCGCCCCGCGGCCCGGCCCCCGCCCCCCCGCCCCGCCCACCTGGTGCAGGCTGCGCTTGGCCTGCAGCGCGGCGCTCAGCTTCTCCTCCTGCTTCACGCGCATCTTCACCACCTCGTGCAGGAACTTCTCTTTGGCTTCCTTGGTGTCCAGGCCGCCCTCCAGGGCCTGCCGCAGGTGCTCCAGCTCCGCCTCCAGCCCCCCGCTCGGGGCCTCGCCGGGCGCCGCGGCGTCGGGGCCGCGCTGGCCGCGGGCGGGGCGTGCAGGCCCGGGGAGCTCAGGTCCTTGGCGGAGCTGGATGAGGTAAAGGACGGAGACGAGAGCGAGGAGAGGGACGAGGTGACTGCGGAGAGACGCGGCGGTCAGCGCGGTGGCCCGGGGCGGGGCGGGGCCGCGAGGGGGGCGGGTTCAGAGGGGGCGGGGCCGGGGCGCGGGCCGCGAGGGGGCGGGGCCGCGAGGAGGCGGGCTCAGAGGGGGCGGGGCCGCGAGGGGCGGGGCCAGGGAGGGCGGGCCCGCGAGGGGCGGGGCGGGGCGGGGCGGGGCGCGGCTCACAGTCCTCTCTGCTCTCCACTTCCACCTCCGCCTCCGAGTCCTTGTCGTCCTCTGGGGCCGCGCCGGGCGCCGCGCTCTCCGGGGCTGCGGGGGTGTCCGCGGCCAGCTTCCGCTTCCTGGGCTGGACGCACGGGGGCAGCGGCTCGGGGGGCCGGGCGCCGAGGGTGCTGCGGGGCGGGCTGCCCGCCACCTTCTGCGGGGCGGGGGGTGCCAGCGCCACGTTGGGGGCCACGCCCGTCTCGAAGCTCTTGTAGGAGTAGAAGCTGCGGGGCGAGGGCAGGTGTCGGGGTGCAGGCCCGTGCCAGGCCCCACCAAAGGCGCTGAGCCGGAAACGCTCCAGCCGATGGCCCCGGGAGCGCCACGGCCAGGGCCGCTACTCCCCGGGGAGCCGCCGGCTCCGGCCGCCACGGCCCCTCGCCCTCCCGGCCCGAGGCGCCCTGTGAGGGCAAGCGCAGGGCCCCTCCTGAGCGTCGGCGGGGTGGGGTACGCCGCACCCACCAAATCCCACAGAGCGGCGAGGTAGACCGGCCTCCTCCGCTGCCGGGCACTCACCTGTCTCGGATCAGGGCCGGGAGGTGCGGGGAGAGCTCCTTGTCGCCGCCCGTGGACACCGCGGGGGACCAGGGCCGGAAGGCAGAGAGGCGCGGGCGCGGGTGTGCACAGCCCAAGCTCTGCGGGGAGTGGGCACGGGTCAGCAGGCCTGGCGCCGGCCCCCACTACCCCCCCACCCCCACCCCCGCAGGCACCTTGGAGGAGCCGGCGAGGGTCCGCAGCCAGCCGGACTGCTTGTCCTTCTCCGCAGACGTGGGGGGCTGGGAGGGGGCGTCGTCTGTTTTCCTTATGGAAGCTGGGGGCTCGAGGAGACCTGTGAGGGACGGGGTCCGTGCAGGCTGCGCCAAGCAGGGTCTTCCAGCAGCACACGCCACGTGCACGAGGCCCTCTGGCGTACAGCGCCGCACCCAGCATCCGGGCCGCGCCCCGCCCGCCCCACCGCCCTGCCCGCCGCAGCAGCAGGGGCTCTAGGCTGGCCCCAGGGCCACTGGCTCAGCAGGGACTCGAGAGCACCGGCTCTTGCCCACACAGACGCTGCCCCGCTGGCGGGATCTGGACTCCCGGCGCTCCCCACGGGCGGGCCCGTCCCCCCAGACCCTCTGGCCGGCAGACGCTCCTCTGGGCCTCGGCACACCTGCTCCCTGGACCAGCGTGTCTGTCGCCAGGGAAGGCACAGAGGCCCACAGCCGGGGATGGGGACTGAGACGAGACCAGTGGGGCCCTGGCCGGACTCGCCGCACGGAAGAGGCTGCTGGAGGGCCTGGCCGCGTCCCACAGCCGCGGGCCTACAGCCCCCAGGACAGAGAACAGCCCTGTGGGCGCCCGACCTGCTCAGCAGAGTAGCTACCGGCCAGCAGTCCTCGAGCGCCGGCCACACACCGAAGAGGCACCCAGGCCGCCCGCGGGGCCCTGCCCCCGCCCCCCACAAGCCTGGAGACTGCCTCCCTGAGAGCCAGATGCAGAGCCAGGCAGGCGGCCCGAGCTGGGCGGAGCCACCGGCAGTGTTCTGGGGTGACCGACACGCTCCTGAACCGGACGGCGCCCGGGGCCGCGGTCAGACCCCACGCGCGCTCCCAGGAAGGCAAGCTTCGGGATGTGGCTCACGTCTGGCAAGTGGCCACCGAGACCACACACTCAAGGCACGTTGATCCTTGAGAGCTTAGGAGCTTCGCGGTTTGGCGCTCCAAGGGGCTGGGGCATCACGGCCTAGGGGGCTTTGTCTCTGCCCAGGCTCACCCTGCCTAGGCCGCGGGAACACGGGGGGAACACGGGAGGACCCGTGGCCCAGACCCTGGCCCGAGCAGCGTCTGCAGGAACGCATGGGCCCCCGGCCCAGCCCGGCAGGCGTCTGCCCAAAGCACACGGAGGCAGTGAGACATGCAGGCCGAGACCAGGCAGGGCCTTACGGGATTACAACGGTTCTCCGGAAATGACCACGTGGGGACCAGCGGAAGACGGAGGAGCCGTGGCGGGGGTGGGCGAGGACGGGCCTCGGCCTGCGGGGACAGGTCACTGCAGTGCCGGCGCTGAGCTATGGGCCCGGGGGCTCGGCCTCACCCCGCTGGGCGCCGTCCACCCGTGCACGTGGTGCAGGCCCTGGGCTCCTCAGATGCCCTCCCTGCCCATCCGGGCAGCTGGAGGATGTGGGGCGGGGGCGCCAGGAGCCAGGGCAGGTGCAGACACGAGGAGGAAGGCGGCGGGCCACCTGGACACCCACCCCAGAGCCCCCTGGGCCCACGCGGACGTGACTCTGGACGCCCGCACAGCCCCCCACCCCCCGCCTGCGGAGCTGGAGCCGGCAGAGCTATTTTTGTGAGCACCATTAATACGTCCACGTGGTGGCTCACGTTCCGTGCGATGCCCACATTAACCTATTTTCTGATTATTGTGGTGCAGAGGAAGCAGATTCAATTTGCAAGACAACCCCAAACCCCAAAATGAAGTGAAAATAGCAGCTCAAAAGATTCCCTTTGATTCCCACTAAATAGGTCACCTCTCCTGTCGCCTCCAGCCCGCAGAAGAGGAAGCGGAGGCAGACCTGGGGCGGGGGCTCAAGGGCGGGACGTCCGGCCGGGGGCTCTGGGCGCCCACTTGCCCTCCTGGCCAGGCCTCCAGGCCCACACGGCCCAGGGCCCAGGACAGGCTCTCCCCTCACCTCTCTGTGCAGCTGCCCGGGGGCGGGGCCTGGCCCCTCCCCACACTGCTCTTGGGATTGGGCGGGAGCAGGTGCCCTGCACCTGCTCCCACCTCCACGCATGGGTGTGAAGCCCACCCGGCACGGGGCAGCTGCGTGCAGTCCTGGGAGGCTGCCTGACGGAGGCGCCGGAGCTGACTCTGCTGCCAGGCCCTGCCCAGGGCACCTGAGAACACACCGCGTGTCCCGGGGAGTCACCGAGAGGGGCCCTCAGCCCACCCTCCCCTGCTGCGAGAGGGACCACCGTGGGGCAGGCCCAGGCCTGGAAAGACGGCCCCCACGGGCCTCACAGGACAGCGAGGGGGGAATGGGCCTCGGGGGGGCGCAACGGGTCCTCAGAGGCAGCCGGGAGCCCACCTCAGGGGAGCAGTGCAGGCAGGTGACCGAGGACCTGGGGGCCCAGGTCAGAGCCCTGGTTCCTGAAGGGGCGACGGCAGGGCTGCCTGGCTTTCCTCAAGCCCCGAGGATGGGGACCCGACGGGTGCTAGGGTGTCCCTGGCCAGAGTCCCGGGTGCCTCACCCCCCACAGCGCCCCAGGAGCCCCACTCCCAGGCCGCAAGCGACCCTCTCGGTGGGCAGGCGTGACCCTGGCCATGCCTGGGGCAGCAGAGACTCCCCGAGGGGGGAGAAGGGCCTGCCGGGGTGGACAGGGGCTGGGGACACGGAGCCGCCGCACGGGGCAGGCCCGTCCTCTGGTCTGTTGGAAGCAAACCTCGCAGCCGCCATCGAAAGCCGCAAGCCCCCTGCACGGGGGGGGGGACGGGCACCTGCAAGCCATATGGGCAGCAGGCCCCACCCCCAGGGCTCAAAACCCAGACAGCAACGAGTTTCTGGCCCCCAAATGAGATTGTAAAACGCAACGACACCCCACTTCTTTCGGCACCAGAGAGGCTGCCCTGGGGGTGCACTTGTACAGAGGCACGCGTGGCCGCAGCCCCAGTGGTCCCTAGCCTGCGGCCGCCGCGGCACCTGCCCCATGCGCCCAGCCCGGACACGGGAGGGACGCGGCCCCTGATGCCCTGCCGGACACGGGAGGCCCGGGGCCCGGGGGTCCCTGCCGTGGAGGCCGCGGGGAGCTGGTGGCGAGAGCCGTGGGGCAGGCGGAGGCCGGGCTCAGACCAGCAGCAGCCCTGCCCCAGCCCGGGGGGCCCAGCAGGCAGGGAGAGCTGCAGGGGCACCGGCCGTGTCTGCCCCGCGCCCAGCCGCGGGACCCAGCACTTTCACCCGCTTCTGCCGGAAGCCAGGAGGCCGCCCACAGGCCAGGGGCTGTTCTGCTTCCTGGCGCCTCCCGCCGCCGCCGCCTCCTGGGGGGGCTGCGGGCTGTTTTCTCTCCATAGAAACAGACACAACACAGCGCGGCCGCCGGCCGCTGGGGCGGGACAGGGGCGCCGTCCAGAGGCAGCAGCTGAGGGATGGCAGGCGGCTCCAGGCGCCCCGAGACCAGCCCTGTCTTCAGTGTGGGGCCCTGAGCTCGAGCCCCGTTCCCAGCACCAAATCCCCCCACAAGCGGGGCCATCTGAATGAAGGGTCAGGACGGAGCAAGGCCGCCCTGAAAGTGACAAAACGCCACCCACAAAACACCAGGCCCACGGGCCCAGGGCCTGGACGGGTGGCTGTGCGGACCATGCTGAGCCCGGGAGCTGGCCCGGGCACCCCAGAGAGCCCACACCAGCTCCCCCACCTGGCAAAGGGCCCCAGGGCTCTGCCACAGCCTCCACACTCAAGCCACCCAGGACGGACCTCGTGCCCAGTGGTGCCCGCTCCCTGGATGGCAGGCCTGGCCACCCCCTCTGGTCCAGCATCCAGCACCAACCCCAGTCGCCACCAGCTGCCCCACCCCAGGGCCCCCAGCCCAGGACCTGACCATGGCCAATGCCAAGACTGCCCAGTGTCCATCCCCCTGCCGGCCCCAGTGGCCACCAAAAAGGGGGGGCTTCTGGGAGACCCCCAGGAAGAGCAGCCTCATGGGAAGCTGAGGACAGGTGCCCATGCCGCCTCTGGGCGGAGGAGGCCTGGGGTAAAGGGCTGAGGGCAGGGCCAGGGTTTGGTCAAGGGAGGTCTCCTCGGTTCTGTCCGGTGCTGGAACCAGCCCTGAGGGTCCGTCCAGTGCTGGCAGCTGCCGGGGGCCGCAGCGCCCTCCCCAGAAGGGCCCGGGTCCCGCGGGAGGCAGGGCCCCGCTTCCGCAGCAACCACGGCAGCTCCCCTGAGGCCTCGGGGAGCTGCTGGGGCCAGGCCGAGCGCCCGGCCAGCGGGTGGGGTGGCCAGTGGCATAGGGCCGCGGTGCCACCTCACCTGGCTACGCCCACAGGGCCCTGCTCAGCAGCAGGTGGGCGGCGGAGAGGCCCGGGCCACGCCGAGCCGTGGGGTCCGAGCCGCGACATGCTCCCCAGTGCAGGAAGACTAGGGCAGTGACTCCGGGCACCGGGGAGGGGAGGGGGGTGTCACAGCATCGAGACACCAAGGTCTGAACTGCGGTGCCCCTCTGGCACCTGCGGGAGACCTTGCCGTGTGGTCATCGCCCTGCACCGTCCCTGAGGGGAGCAGTGAAGGCCGGAACCACACGATGCCGGCAACTACACCAGGGGGCGGCCTGGGAACCCCCACTTCAGAACCAAGGAGGATACCTTCGAAGGCCAAGAGGGGGAGGCCACCGCCAGCGCCTCCAACACCAGGGGCGGTGGCCGGCGCAGGCCCAGGACCGCTGCGGGCACTGTCGGAAGCGGGGCTCTGGCCCGCAGGCCTCTCTCTCCCGTCCGTTGTCAGCCAGGGTCCCAGGCCAGACGCGGCCCTGCCAGAGGCCACCCCAGGGCCCCAGCGGCTTCCCATCCCCCCGTCTCCCTGCGGCAGCTCGGCGCGTGCACCAACCACCACGGCCGAGGGCAGCCTGACGGGGCAGCACACGGGCAGGCTGACCACCCAGCAGGGCCCCCCCACCCCCAAGCGGCGTTCTCGGACTGGGTCCACGGGAGGTCTGGTTGGAAACCAGCCCAAACGCCAAAGAGAACGTCCTGCCCCAGCCCGCCCCACCCACCCCACGCCCCGGCTGGGGGCTCTCGTGTCGAGGCTGCTGCAGCCTCCCCCGTCCCCCGCCCCACCAACCCGGAGGCCCTCGTCGACGG